TCGTAAAATTATTTTTATCATTTAATTTTCAAACGAATCTACGTTTTTTTTAGATTCCCACTATTTTCCATGCATATTGATTAGGATAAACATCAGTGTGCACTTTATTTTTGTACTTTAACGATTTGAACAACGTTTACAGCTCAAACTGGATTGTGTATAACATTTTAAACATGCCCGATTAATTATTATGTATCAAGAAGTCTAGAAAAATGTATGAAAATGTCCCCAGAATTTCTGCAGTTCAAGACACTCCACGTTTTATTCAAATAAAGATGCGTACTTTGGGTAATTCGGGGATTACATTGTTGGAGAGTTTGTTTTTTTAATTCTTTTTCAGAACCAAACCTCAGCTTCACAAAAGAGTGGAAAACGTTTCAGTGTGACGAGGATATGTTAAAGTGCTCATGTAATTCAAATAGGTCAAATGAAACCGATAATAAAAACTCATTCGATTTGACCATTTTTTTTTTGCATAAAATAAACACTTCGCGTTAATTTCAACCAAAAAAAATGTAAATAAACGATCGAAACAAACGGGAGAGAAAACAAATAAATATTTGTTAGTTCTTGAAGGCCAAAAACAATTGTTGAATGCCATAAATATGTCTGCCAAATTGTTGCTCTCAGTATAAGTGCTGAGTACACCGTTTCATTTATGCGTTGATTTCGATTTCGATTCAAATGCTTATGTGAATGAGAATAGAAGCAAATCGGTTGTTTGGTTGGTTGAACAATGTGCGCACGATCATCGCACGGTCAAAGCTTATTGCAATGGCTCGCAACCATGGTGTCTTTTCAAACCATCGATGTTCTAGATGTTTCGAAGTGAAATATTTCAAAGACGACTGTTCGGCAAACGCGTACGCGTACAAACAACAATACGACCACATATTCACCTGAGCAAGTGCATTAATATGGTTGCGTTTGAAATGAACGACATCACAACGACGACGGCTATTCGATTCGATTCGATCCGATCATAGACTCACTCACAATGCGTGATTTTAATTACATTGTTTACATGAGTCTATATCGATTTTATCTGGTCACTTTTGCGACTAGCTATGTTGCCCATTCTTTTTAATTTCAATGCATAGCTTGGTGCACTGCATGAGTGTCCACGTGCTAATCGGGCCAACAACTGATTATTCTGCGCTTTAAGATCAATTTTATGCTCGGTAACCTATTTGGAATGCACATTCGGTTTATTGCTGATTCCAATGATTTTAGCTTGATTCACTGGCAACACAGATTATGAGTGTTGGTTTTTTTTTCGTTCAGTTGTCATTGCATATACCATCACCGCATGTGCAATGGTTTGTATATGATTAGTTGCAATCAGCAGCAGTATTTTGATGTTGATGCATCGCACTTCATAGCAAACAATGTATTATGGTCCGTGTAAATGGTGCTGTGTTGCTTGAGCGCGCGCGCGCATGTTGATTTTTACAAGTGGTAAAGCGATGATTAAGCGCATTTACTTATGCAAAGTTGCCGCCAATTCATCGTGTAGTTAACAAATTAAAGACGAGCAATTGAAATTGTTCAATTAATGTATGCAACTCGATGGCAACGTAGCTTTGTTTGAATGTTTAATCAAAAGTTAGTTATTCCTTTTTCATAAATGATAAGCTGCTATACGTATTTGCATCACGAGTGTTTTTTGCTAAATTAAATCATGTGCTTTGCCATTGCAAGTAGGTAATTGAAACATCAAATGATGTTTTATTCTTTTATCTCACTCTGTCTGTGGTTAAATTGGAAACGACAATCAAACAATGATGACGATGACGACCAACTTCGTCTTCGAGGTGGGACTTGTTTTAGATAGCCATAGAACCTTGATTTTCTATTGAAGTTTATTGATTTTGGTCAAAACCCGATTCGAATGGTGTTTCTAGACGTTTCTCCGATCACATGAAAAGAGTGAGAAAACTGCATTTCAGGTTTTTTTTTCCAAAACTCTTGGTTGTGGTTATAAAAACGAAAACGAAAAAAAAAAATTACAAAATTTTCGTTATTTCAATTTGCAATGGCTACAAAACCCAAAATAGCAAACAAAAACCGTTTAGAAACCGTTGTGGATGTGTGTTCGTTTGCAAAGTAAAGACGAAAAAACAACGCACGCAGACAAGATTGTATGCATAGCACATTGAATGCCGTTTCATAAAATGCTGCTTACCGGTCTGTCGACCAAATGCAAGTAATCGCATGCAGAATTTTATGTGAGCGTTCAGTGTGCATGTGTTTTTTCCTGTTGTTCGAAATGCCATGGAAATAATAATAATTAATCGCATTAGTAAATGAGTCAGAGTAAGATCGACTGAGAGAAACACCTTTAGTAATAACCCGCTGGTAAAACTGCAACAACAACAAAACAGCGAAAAAAGCACAAAAATTGAACGATTTTCAAATGAATGAGAAAAAAAAGTATATGGGATTGAAAAAACTGTGAGTGAATATATTCGCGTTGCACGAATTACGATTTAGAATGACCGAGAATAAATGGTTGCGACAATCGCGAGCATTGGACATAACTTCGATATCGAGTACAGTGGCCACTAAATGCCAACACCAACAACAATTCAATCCAATCCAGCACCGTGTCATTTATTTAATTTGAGCAGCGCACACGCACGCCTTGGAATGAACATTCAATCAAGTTTAAATTAAAAATTATCAACTTCAAACCGTGTACGGACGGTTTTGTTTATTAAATTTTTCTTGTACGGTTTCTTTTTTTCCAATTCATTTTTCATATATGATTTGTTTTTGTTGCTGCTCGTATCCGACCACCTAATTATCATAGAATTCAGATTTAACCCATTAATTACCAGGATTCTTATTTTGTTTTCAAATTGCGACTTTCAAATATTATCAATTTTGGTCTAAAAATAACAGTAGACTTCGCAAATCGTGAGATATGAGTCCCATTTATCTTTAACAGCGATAGAAAAATTAAAAATTCAGTCTTCTTTGATTAAAAAGATAAGTTTTTCACTTGATTTCGAATAAAAGTCAGTTGATTTATTCATTCGATGGAAAGAGGCTTTGATACATCGTTGTCGCATTCAGAGTTGATGAACTTCCAGTGGCTGAATTTGGATGTGACGTCAAATGTCGGTGCATTAAACTATAAATATTATGCGAACGCCATTTATTCTCAGTGGCTGATTTTGAGTGTCAAGCTAAAAGGCACACATTGACGTCACGCTCGGAAATACGTAGAAAAAGAGAAAGAGAAAAAGAGAAAAGGGGCAAAGCAAGATTTTCATTCGGACAAATACGAAATTCACATATTGATCGCATTTTGTTGATAATAATATTTGTTATACGATATCATCAAAACAATATTAAATCCGAAAAAAGAGACCACCGTTAAAAAAGAGTTATCAGTTAAAATGTCATTTGTGATAAACAATTATTGAGTTTATTATCGTCTATCATAATGATGATGACGGCGATCATGATGACGGCGATGATGATGATGATATCGGGTCAATTTCCTTTTTTCCGCAAACGTAGACACAGACCTATTTATCTTCCATATAATTTATACAAATTAGTTGTTCGCAAACCAAAAGTACGACACATCAGCCGACAAAGTTTACACTTTTTCACTTCTTCTCCGTCGTCTTCGTTGTCATCTTATACAGTCATATGTTAGTTTTCTAAAATGATTGCCGTGCGTCGTTGTCCTCTTAACACACAGAGAGGAGAATTAGTAGCCAGGCAATAAAATTAAATTTTATAGTAAAAGTCATGATTCATGATGGGATCGATCACTCAGCAGCAAAGAGAAATAAAACGACAGAGAAAGAATCATGCATGGAAGAAACGACGAAATGAAAAATACAAAAAAAAAAATCAAACACAACAAAAACGAAGACAGTTGAAATTGAGACTACATTTGAAATAACATACACATGATTCGTATTGAACGAGTTGGCGGAAATAAGGAGAAAGAGAGAGAGAGAGAGAAATATCTAGTGTAGAATATCTAGCACTCTTGGTCGCGTATACACACATCATCGTTCAATCGACCAATATTCGCAATAATCTTGATGATAAAGCTCTTAATACGATAACACGGACGAATCCTCTCTGCGCAAATCGTCGATTGTGCGACGTACGTACACATCCGATTTGCATAAATTCTTTCATCATTTTTTAAATCAAGTCTTTCCGCCAAGATTCAACAGAATTTCTGCGTTTGCATGGGGAAACAGTCGCGCATTTCACAAAAGTGCAAAAAAGCACCGGCCAACGAAAAAAAAAGACACAGTGGCCGGTTCGTCAACATTGTCCCAGGTGTCTTCAACCCGTTAACTGCTTAATCAACATAAAGTCTACAAATTTTTCGACTCTAACCTTTTCAAATAAAAGACTAGTCAAATTTCGAATTAGAATCTATTCGACTTATTTGTGCATGTTTTCTCACTTTCCTATTGGAATTGAAGCGAATTTTGAGACGCATTTTTTTTTCATTCGTTTGCGATTGCTTGTTGTCATTCGAAAATTTTATGATTTTACCACCTTGATCAAAACATTTATTTTGCTTTTACCTCTATATTCTTACGATGGATATGGAGAGAGAGGAGGAAAAAAATATGATTTCTGTTGTTAATGTGTTGCTCAATTAACATATAGCTTTCTTTTTGAATGGTGAAAAAAATGTTGCTGACGACAAAATTCAACTTCAATGAACAAGACACATGACATGGTTTAGCGCACTACAACTGACATACATGTTGAGATAGGACTTGATGAATCATGATGAATATTCTTTGTAAAATATCGGTTCTGGATGAAAAACTACAATTTTACGGTAGTTTTTTCTTCAATGCCGAAAAAGTCGTCAATTTTATGGCTTTGCAAATGAAAGTAAGATCGTTTTTCGCAATTTTCGAATATGAGCCTAGGCCTAGGTTGGCTTTTGTGCAAATGAAGCCAAAAGTGTTGCACATATGAAATGGTATTTGGTTAACAATACTCACATATTTGGAATCAGCGGCAAAAGAAGAAGCAGAAAAAAACACAAAATATTCTGTGATAATTCAGTCCAAGTCCATGAAAATTTCAATTGCAAATGATTTTTGCGTGTGTGTACGCGATCGAACAATTGCGAGGCGTCTTTCACTGTTTCACCACAACTATTTCTTTTCTTTGCGTACTTTTTTTTTATATAAACGCAATGCCCGATTTGTCCGTTCAAAGAACAACCCGTAATGATATGGTCGCTTTTTAGTGTTATCACGGACTTTACACAATTACGTTTGATTGGTTCAATTTTTTTTATTAAGTGGACGTAAAAAGATTCCACATCGGTTTGGATGTGTATGCTTCTCATTTTGAGCAAAAACACCATTGACTGATCTTTCTCTCTCTCTCTCTCTCTCTCTCTCTCTCTCTCTCTCTCTCTCTTTCTCTCTCTCTTTCTCTCTCTCTCTCTCTCTCTCTTTCTCTGTGCGAGTTTGTGTGTTGAATAAACCGCGATAAGTGAGAAGAGAAGAAGAGAAGAAGAAAAAACCATAACGAAATAATATAAATTGTATGATCGATCGACGCACACCGTACACACTATATTTGATATGATATATACATTATTTACGCAGACGCACAAATCAATTAAATAGTGTTTTTATGTAACCTAATTAGATAGTATTTGGCGTTACGAATATATATATATATTGTTGTTTGATGTTCAAAACACACACTCTCTCATATCGAATGAGTGAACTTCGCGCCTGCTCTATCTGTGGTGTTTTTTGCACAACTAATCTCACTTTAGATTTTTTACCAAAGAAGAAAACAAAATAAAAAATGACGTTTTGTTGTCATATTTAACCCGATCAAAATGTCACATCTCTTACCTGTTCACTATATCTGATGGAAATGATGATGTTTTCAGTGTTTTTTTCTCACTCTATTATAACAATTTTTTACACTTTGTAACTTTCTTTTTGCGAATAAAAAAAATTATTTTATTCAAACCGGAATGCGAAATGCGAATTTAACTTTATCACAAAACACCTCTCGATATTCGTTTCAACGTGAGATTCTTTCGTTTATTCCTCTTTTCGTTTCGTTTTTTCTACATGTGTGTTCTCGTTTTCAGTTAGCTGTTAATTCAGTGAAAATTATCCTCAATAGATGAGAGAGAGAGTTTGCAAATGTAATTTAAGTAAAGTGACGATATGATATAAGCTTTCCGGTGAGATTTTGATTCGGATTTGAGTGCACACGCGCGTTGAACAAAACCGAACCGATAAAAAAACAACAAACAGACGACAAAAAATGCAAATTCAAAACAATTAAAAGAGCAGCAAATCGTTTGAATAATCCGCTAAAAGATTGATCTAAACGGAATTTAATTGAAAAATTGTGTGCGTTGTGTCGTCGCTTTAAACTGGCGGTTGGAAGTGTGTTGTATCTCTTCAGTGTATGGTATGCGAATGAACGCTAACGTATAGCAGCGTCGTATATAGTAGCTCGATAAACAGTCGAAAGTGAACTGGCTTCGATTAAGCGTTCAACACATTTAAAAAAAAAATCTCTGTTTTGCTATTTTTCGTATTATGCAGTGTGTGTTGCGTTCAACTGTTGGCTGACGATGTTTTTCTTTGCCATCGTCGTCGTCGTCGTCGTCGTCGTATTTTCGTGTTCGGAAATTGCTATTTGTTCACATCAAATTGCTTGGTATTGTTGCCATTCTTTGAAGCGATTGCTAAGCACGTAAATACATTACAACCATTGCAATTTGATGCTTTGGTCGCGATCATAGGTGCGTGTGTAACGTCTACGGTGGAATGAACGATCTACGGATTTCCATCTCTGCAGGCAGACAATGTACATCTTGGTTCGACTTCATTCTTTCAACTCACTTCATTTGCTTCTCTTTTTTTTCGTTTTGCTCGTAGCTAATACGAGCTCTTTTCTATAAACAAGATTTCAAATCAATTTACCTGATTCGTCACAATACACTTGATTCTTCTTTGCGAACAACTGCGAAAAGATTTTCAAGTTTTATGCAAACTCGGCCCATTTTATCTGAGTATTGTGAACAAAGTCATCGTATGTGCATATGTGCAATTCATCAACTTATAGTAAACGAAGCAAGCTCTTGAAATATGACACGTGTGACGCTTAGACTTTGTTGATGTTGGATATACTTATACTCATATTGCAAATAAAAACATTGACCATTCAACACATTTGTTTGCAACTTTGTCACGATGACAATGAAACCCAGTTATAATTTAACCGAAAATGTTGACACATACATATTCCGTGCAACGCAAAATTCATCTCAAAGGCATATAATGTTTTTTTATTCATTCAAATGATTCAATTCTATTTCGATTTCGGATGATTTTGATCGCAACGCACATAGCATGATTACGCATAATCGAATGTACTGGAGTCTTATTTTAAGTGAAATTCGCAGCCAAATTCACAACGATAATCTTCATACAAATATGGCATCAGTCATGCTCATATGTCGCATTGTGTTAGTGGATTATATGTACCGCCATCGTCGCCGTATTGGTCGTCGTTACTGCTGTCGCCGTTGCTGTTTATTGTTGACACTCTCGCGTGTGCGCTTCAATTGCAATTATGCTCAAACAAGTTTCTGTTATTAAAGCGTGCGATAAACGATACTGAGAAAAGTAAAAAATTTGCCTCATCTCAACACACATAATATGCTATGAAGTTTGTTCGATCGTATTCAAGCGCGATTTGCCTTTTTTTCGCGATACGTCGTCGCCGATTCATCGCACTCGTCTTCCTGATCTGTTGCGGAAAATTTAATGTTGTCTCCATGAAAAAGTCCCTGGAAATATTCGATTCAGAATAAAAAAGCAATGCTAAAATGTGCGCACGGAAAAAGAGCGCAAAAACATTTATGCACGGAAAACATGTTGACATGTTGAATGCAATAACATTCCTTTTTTGGATGTTGCAAACATAACTGAAAAAAAAAGATCGCAATCTCTTTCTGGCTTTCGCTTTCAGTTCGAAAACAATGAAATGAAGAATCGTCTCATTTAGCGCTTATACAACGGAATCTATTGTTCTGATATATATGATGTGAAGAGGAAAAAAATTAAATATTTTAGTGCGCTAACATCGCATTGAATTCAGAACATTCTCGGAATATTCACATTTCAGCCTCATGTTCTTGTCACTGAATCCTGTTTTTCGAATGTTCGATGTAAACAATGTCGATTCCATTTTCACACAATTTTGTTACCATACGTAAATCAAATGTTTGCCTTTGTTTACGAAACGCAGACAAACTGAGTGAAAAACAATACGCATCACATGTGAGAAGAGAAAAAAAAACGGTTGACAACAACAATAACAACGAAATCGGCAGTCGTAACGGCAGAATTAAAACAACAAACGTCGAGGCTAGTGGATACTTTGTGTGAATCAGTCGCAAGTGGTAAAAAGTCGAGTTTGTATGTCGATCACATAGTAAAATTAAGCACATATTAAAATTGTTAACAATCGCTCAAAGTTCGCAAATCAACGTGACATGTTCAGCAATAAATCTCCTGAATGGCATACATCATTCGGTCCACTTCCTTCAGTTTAATTCTCTGTTAAAAATCAGACAGTCAGAATGAGACTCTGCTTGCTGTTGAACGAGGAAAATGAATGTAATTTTGGTTGTGTTTACCACCTCGTCTCTTTGTTTATTGAATGACTCAACGATAATGAGTTTGGGCGTACGAAATTGTAACCATTTATTTTTATTCTTTCTAATTTCCCTAATTTCTGTTGATCCAATGATTAAACAATCTTCCGGCGTTGTTCTCGGTATACGCGCATCCGTTCGAACGGAAATCATTTGATAAGCAAAGTCTTTTTTCTCTTAAAATAAATCGTGAAGCTATTATTTTAATGTTATCGATTGAGTAGTTCTGAAATAACCCTTGAATGTCTCGAGATCACAGAAAAAATCACGGCTACTTTCTAATTTGTAAACAGTAGCACAGTCCAACGTAATGTGCTTATCAATTACTTACGAAAACAATATCGCTTCTTTGCAAATGAATCAGGAAGCAGAAATTTACTGATCACTTCATCAATTAAAGCTTTGGTGAACTTTTGTTTTGAATTTGAACGTTATAAGGTTTGAGTGATTTTCGGATAAGCACTACAAATGCGGTTTAGCTTTTCACTCAGCTGGTCTAGTGCCTGTGAATGTGTATATGTGACAAAAGTCAACGTGTTGCTGTCTTGTTTGCTGTCAAAATCTAACCTAACATTTTTGAACACATTTTATTTTATTTACTAACTTTTCAGTTGAACACATCATTTTTTTTTATTGTTTTGATAGTAAATGACTCTTCAGTGTTCTTTTAAATAGCAAAATAGTGTGAATTTCGATAATGGACGGCAAATCAGGCGGAAGCAATTTGCCGCGTATCACCGAGAAATTCGAGTATGATGCGGCGATCGGAGGCAATTGCCGGTTGGATAATGAAATCACAACATTTCAACATTGTCACCGACGGATGGAAGAGATCAAAGCCTTGACATCGGCCATTGCCAATCCGAGCAGTACAAAATTGGTATTTCAAAAACTGCCCAAACATATGCGTCGACGGGCAATGTCACACAATCCAAACCGTTTGCCACGCAAGTATCGATTGGCACATCGGGCTCAGATGAGTAAAAGTGGTGCACCGGCTAAAACAAAGCGACCGTCACGGAAGTATCGCCGAAAGCCGGCAAATTTACTGTTGGAATATCAAAAGCGGAAGCGATCGAATATTTGGCTGGAAACGCACATTTGGCATGCAAAACGATTTCACATGACTACCAAATGGGGCTACAAACTCGCCGAATCATCTTGTGACAAAACATTCCGTTCGTCATATCGTGCGACAATTAAGCATTGTCTGATTCAAGACATTTCTCATGTTGGTAACATTGAAATTCGTGGCCCATTGGACATCTTAAGAAATGGCTTTGAACGAATGCGCGGTCGCGGTACTTCGATGGAATTGGGCATTTGTGCCAAAGCGTATATTGGTGGCCAGCGCGAAGGAAGCATTGAATTGTTTTCCATCGATTCGTATCCGTATGGTGCACTGGGACGGTTTCAATTCATATGGAAACGACCAAGTGAAAATGACACACAACAAACGCTGTGGCTGTTTGCACATCCATCAGTGTATCAACAGTTAGTCGATGAACTTTGTAAATTATTCGATTTAGAAGTGCAAGATGACGTAAGCTCAAAGTCAAAGAAACACCAAAACGTAGCAACGACTGTTGAATTGCACGAAATGAAAAATCATTTGAATCGATTTCGATTGACAGGGCCTTTATCGCATGCCATTTTAACGGCAGCATTCAAACCCAAAGTAGCACCAGCGTCGGACGAACACTCTTGGTTCAGTGACTACTTGGGGAACGAACAAAATTCTTTTGTACACGAAACACATTCGAATCACTGGAATAAATTGGAACATATCAAGTCGACGGCCGAATTGCCACCGGGAATGATTCTTGCTCTGAACATCGAGGATCCACGCATAAATCGACCGAAGAAACGAACAAAAGCCGTGCCATCGATCGAGTCGTTGGTTCAAAGTGTGGATGAAGAGGCTTGTTGCACCATACCCGACTTCAACGGAGACAGTGTAATTTGGGATTTGAATCAGCGTGAACGTATTCAAAATGAAAAAGTATCAACGCACGAGATCTGTGTTCAACGTAATAAGAACATTCTAGTGCCGGGCGAACGTTGTGCATTCGAAAATAAATTGCAAGCGGTGCCAGTGCTTTTGATACAACGACCTGGTTCAAAGAATCCAAAGCGTCTCGGCTATGGTGGTGGTTATGATGTGATAATTCCACCTGGTTATGGCATTTCCACATGGATGTGCCTTATAATGTGGGGAGCAAAGCCGGGTGCTCTACGCGAAACAGAAACAATCTCAAGAGAAGCATTGGAAGATGAATTCTTACCCGACACCGAAACTGCTGTGATCAATTCAAATTTGACGGAGAACGAGCTCCGTAAAAAGTGAGTATACCTGTACAAGTGATGGATGTTGACTGACAATTTTAATAACAATTCCATGTTGTTCGACTTACAGATATTTCCGTCGTCCACCGAATAAACGTCAAAATTACCTAAAACACTCGATAGCTAGTCCATTTAAATGTCCATGGCCACAACTCATACAAGAATGGTGCACGTATTCAACGAATTCAAAATTCTACGTACTACGCGATAAAAATAAATTACGGGAAATTGAGCAATTTTTAGGTGGGCGAAGTAAAACACTAACAAATATCGATGAAAATTGCTTGATTCCAGTTTCGCTAGCGATGAACGATCGTGGTAACGCCAACAAATTCTCGATAATTTGTTTGCCCAAAAAACAAGACCTTCGACACAATCGCACAAATCGAAAGCAATTTATAAACAAGCCAGTGCTGACTGAACCTCTGGCAATTGACCAGAATGAAACCAAACGGAAACTGTTGCGATTCCACCATTTGACGACATTGAAACGATTGCGACGTCAACGGATTCGTGTGAAGCGCAAAAACCAGGAATACTCGGAACAAAAAGTGATTATTGCCCCACCACGCACGGCCAATCTAATCAATTCACAGTACGACCGAATGTGCGAACTTTGGCTACCCTCGGCACCTAAAACCATTCGCCAGCAATGTTCACGGGAGGTGTTCGGCTATTTGACGCAATGCCAATTCATGTTCCACGAGGCAAAAGTGGCCGGTATCGGATACGTAACGGTGAATGGCATTCGAAAATTATCGAAATCAACTGGCAACCAAGTACTGGTTCGAGACTCAAATAGCTTAAATTACCGTTTGGCCACACTTGCCTGTCGTTGTCATTGATACTGTTGACTTTGTTAAAAAAAAATGTAAAACGACAATAATTTTTTTTTACTAAGTGAGAATATGAAACACGTGCTTGATTCATACCGAGTCTTTTCTTTTCTTCCATTTTTTTCTTTTTATTTGAATCTAATTTTTAATTCATTAATAGTTTGTAATGAAATTTGTTTTTTTTTTCTCTATTTATAAATTCAAATGAATTTGTTGGAAATTTAGATCCAATTGAAATCCAGTCCAGTTTTTTTTTTTATTGAATTTCGTTTCCGCTTACAACCTTAGTCGGGCCCAGTTTGAAGTATGATTTCTACATCCAATTTTTAATATTGTTTTTTTTTACTTTTTTTTTTTAATTTATTATTTTCTTATTCATTGACAATGGTAAATTTACAGAGAGGAAAACCAGCTAATCTGAATTCATGGTTTTTTTTACAGCAAAATAATTCTTTTTCTTTTGTAATTTTTTTTTTGTCCTAATATTGAAAAAAAAAATTCCAGTGATTAGTTTTCATGTGCAGTGTTAGGTGTTTTTTTGTTGAGTTATATACGACTAATTTGAAGACACGCTAATGTGGCAGGATGTCGATGGAACTAAATAATGGTAATAAATAATTTGTATTGCGACACATTTACACACGCGGTGGTATGTAACCTGCACATCAAATGACATTCAAGCATGCGGAGCACATTAGTTCAGTCGACACCTGTCAGATTTGTACATGGTTCCATTTGTGTTCCATAAATAAATAAATCCTATGGAGATTTGAATGCATTGCAGTGGGAATAAGAGTTGTGATTTAAACGGTGAAGTTGACATTAATTTCTTGGTTTGTTGCACAATAAACTACTTTCTTTGATATATAATATTGTCTCAATGAAATTGATCTAAAGCCACTGCCTAGAATGTTTTCCAATTCAACATCTTTTCAACTTGATTTTTTGTTTGTTAATTTTTTCTCTTTCTACATGAAACATTTACTGGGCATTGTTTCTTCATGAAAAATATTTGGCCGAAAGTATTTTATTTGGCTGATGGCAAAATGCATATTCATTTCAATAATAGATTGATTTTTAAAAATCAAAATCGCCGCAACCCCAAAAATAGTTGTGTGTGTTTTTTTTTATTTTATTTTTTTTTTATCTGTTTTTGTGTTGAAATTTATTTGGAAAATGTGCTGAAAAGACCATGAACTGAGTAACTTTTGAACAAATTGCCTTGTGTTGTTGATCAAAATGACTACAAATCAGGTAAAATAATAGTAATTGTAATAATCCAATCGTAGTATTTGGCAGCATTTCACTTACACATTCTACTGTGGTGGAACGTGTTTCTCGATAAAATCCTGCGAATTGAAATGGCAAAGCATGTTGATTTTTTTTCCCATATCTTAGTTTCATCGTGTGTTACAATGTAAGATTCTTATATTTCACTCACCTTAATATCGTCCATTTCCTGCTGTGACGATGAATGTGACAATCCTGGATATGATGAAAATTGAGCATTTTTCATAAATGTTTTCAAGCTATAGTGTGACAATTGGCCAAATTTGTATGGTACAACGGGATCGACTTCGCCGTGACATTGGAAGATCGGCACCGTATCGGCGGTTTTTCGTGCATCTGGAAAACTCTTGTGTAATGGGAGCCAACAGGATAAGGCAACAATGCCTCCAAGAGCTTGTGTTGATGTTAGGCCTGTATGTAATGCTAGTGCACCTCCTTGTGAAAATCCACCAATAATGATTCGATTGGGTGGTATGCCTGCTGAAATTTCCGATTGAATCATTGTTTGAATGTTTGTGGTCGCCTTTTTGATGCCAACCTCATCTTCGGGTCCATACATGTCAAGTGTTTTTAAATCAAACCATGATGGCATTTCAAAACCAGCGTTCAGTGTAACCGGCATCGTTGGTGCTGTTGGACAAATGACCTTCATGTATGCTGGCCGAATTTGGGCCATTGCTTGTGCCCAGCCATGACTATGCAAAAAATGGAAAAAAATAGAGAAAAACGAATAATCAAAAAATGTTGTTTACTTTTTTTCATTTAATGAATCGAACATGTCGATTTTTTACATGAACTTGTCTCCTGAGCATTTTTGACATGCCAATAAAATAAACGAATGCCTTTAATTATATTTAACGCAAAATTCTACAAAGTAATTGTTTTTTTTGCTTTTGATGTTGAAAATGTAAAACGTCCATATTGCGTTGCGATTTCATTAACCTTGAACTTATTGTTATGCATACTGGAAATGTCTATTTGAGTCAACAGCTGTATGTCAAATGTGTATATATAACTATTAAGAGCGCGGCAAACTGCTTTTGCTTCTCTACTTACCCCGTATCACCGAGCCCATGCAAGAAGATAATCTGAAATGAAATAAGAGAAGAAGAAAATCAAACGGCGATTATTAATCACGAAATGAGATTTTTAATGAAAATAAATTTTAAAAAAAGTCTCTCAGATCGCTTCAATTCCATTTTTATTAAAATTTTTATTGATTTTTCGTCATAGAAAACTATGATCGAATGGGTTATGTAGTTTCGAAAATTTAACATGTGAAAAAAAAAAAATTGTAATCCTTGATAAGCCTTGAATTGAAACATCGGTGGTTTGGGAAACCATTTTTTTCTCTGCAATTCGCAAAACAACCATTTTCAGACAAGGGCTTCAGCGAATGTTTTTTTGTCTGTTCGAAATGTTTGTGTGTGGGAAGCATGGACCAAGCGGTGATCAATTTCCATTCATACTTACCGATGCTGTATGTTTTGATGTTGCCTGAAGAATTACTGGACTAACAGCCATTTCAGTATTTCTTGTTTGTTTTCGCACACAATTTCCAATTTTGAACTACACTTACGGCAGAATGAAGGCCGAGTTTGTTAAATGAACTCGGAAAAAATTTTGTTGAACAACTGAAAAGACGCAAGTGACCACCGGACTAACCGAACTGACATTAAATACTTTTGTCAAATGTTAAGAACTAAATCAGTTTTTATTGCTCAACAATTTTTTTTCTTCGTTCACCGTACACTTGATGGTTTTTTGCTTCTCTCTTCTTTAGCTCGACTTTTTCGTGCACGTCATATGTCACACTGTAGGTACAGTGGAGCGCGCGGTTTGTTTGTGGTAGTGTTCGTGTAATTTCTCTGTCACACTCACACAGACACACACAGACCCACACAAACACATACAAACACTCATCTACATCAGGCAGATCATCATAAAAAACAACCATCCAAAAAATATAGAACACAAATTGCCCATTTTGTCTGTTGAATATTTAATGGAATTTGCGTAACCTATTAGGTAATACCTAACATTGACCATGTGGTAATTTACATATATTGGACATAGAATAAAATGGAAAAACAACACAGGCTCAGCAGAAAATGTTATTTTGAACTCTAAACCGCTTTGATTCGCGCTGACAATGGCGCTAAATTCACATTACCATAAATATTCGTTAACTGTTTGGATTGTAGACAAAGTTGTGAATAAATACATTTTAAAGAAGGACGAAGAACATGTAGAAAAAAATGGCAGCATTGACTAGCGCAATTCATTCAGCGTAAAAGGATGTGTGTCAAACGATTACAGTTTGCGTAATCCGTTGGCATGGTGTAAAATTAGTCATATATTCGAAATTAATGCAGAATCGAAACCCTTTCAAAAATTGTACTCTTTGCTGTGATTCATAACCCTGTTCATTGATGTTCTTTTTTTTCTATCTTCCTCGGATTAGCGTATCATATTGTACGTAAATCGGATTGATGGCGACCTCTATTCGCATAAGATGAAATATTCAACTTTGACAATCAACACGCAACACATGGTTCACATCCATGTAATCAAGGCACATACACAACGAAAAACAGAAGAACAACAACCAATGAATTGACAGAGCCAACGATTTTGATGCACCGATACTTCTCTCTCTCTCTCTCTCTCTCGTGTATACGACCGATGAAAATATAAACAATTGGACATTTTTCACGCTGTTTACTAAAACCGAATCACATTCTCTTTTACGTCTTATTCATTTTGAATTGATTTAGTGAATTAAACAACATTCAATAGTAAAAATAGCTTGGCTTACGCACAAATCATGACATTTTATTGAATATTTAATGTTTACAATTATTTCGCCGAAATGGAACAACCATTGATGTTTACGCATTTAACGCGTGTTGAAAATTTCTCCGTTTTCGACACCAAATGGATACCACAAACTGCGAAATTCGTCGCAATTGGCGGCCGAGCCAATGGTACGGGTCTAATCAAAGTGTTCGAATTAAATGGCAATCAGATTGATGTAATTCGTGAGATAAACAAGAAAAACACATTCAAATGTGCGGCTTTTGGTCTATCCCGAACGAAACAAGCATATTTGGCGATTGCTGATTTTGGCGGTTCACTGCATATTATGTGAGTTGATTCAACGAAAGCAAAAAAAATCTAAAATCTAATCATTAGAAACTAGAAAAATATTGACAAAAAGCAATATGATAAAAATACAGGTTTTAATTGAAACTACTTCATTTTGCAGAAACGTGGATCGATTGGATGGATCAGTTTATAATGTGAATGCTGCTCACAATGGAATCATCAATGCCATCGACACTGCCGGTTGTATAGAGAATGGGGGCGCATCCGAAATAGTGACTGGTGGACAAGATGGGTTGGTTAAAGTATGGGATCCGCGATCCACTGATGCTGTCGTGCAAATTGAATCCACCACAGATGTACGTGAATAACATAATTTTAGCTCAAATTTCGTACGAGTTTTAAACTCCAAATTTAGTTGATTTTAATTTCCACGAATTTTTGCTCCTCCATTTAATCCGTTGTTTCTTCCCTTTGTGAAACAGGACAAAAGTGGTTCGCGTGATTGCTGGTCGGTTGCATTTGGAGATTCGCACAGTAAGGATGAACGTTGTGTTTGCGCTGGATATTCGAACGGTGATATTCGGGTGTTTGACTTGCGAACGCTACAGATTCGATGGGAGTCAAATGTACGGAATGGTGTGTGCGGCCTCGAAACAAACAACAAATATGAACCATTACAGAAGCTAGTAGCTAGCACCACATTCGGTGGTTTGAATGTGTTCAATTTTAATGGCAATTCCACTGATAGCTCAACCGTATCGTGTGTTAGTAAAATGGACGCCGATGAACTGCTGAGCATCCAACGAAATCATCATAGCGATAGTAGTCACAAAAATATTACGCCAACCATTTGGTGTGTTCGTCATCTACCTCAAAATCGAAACATTTTCGCATCGTGTGGTGGTAGCGGAAATCTTCGATTGTGGCACAGGTAAGACAAGTGATTCGATCATTTTGGCTCAATGAAACCACCACCAAAATTATTATTGAAACGAAAAAAGAATGGAAATAATTTTATTCCTTGGAAATTGTGTAATTCCAGCCCAAAACAACGCCCTCTACCCGGATCAAATGGGCTGAAAATCATTTACGAACTGTCTGTTAGCAACAAACCGGTGAATTGCTTCGACTGGAGCCCGGATCGTGCTGGTCTAGCCATATGCAGTTCATTCGATAAAACACTGCGAGTCATTGCATCGGTCAATTTGCCATCGGGCCAATGAAAAACATTTTAATGATACCCAGTTTATATGTTTTTTTTTCTTCGTTGCAATGATTTAACTTTTAAATCTTGTTGATGGAAACAAAGAAATATATTTTTTCCGATCATTGTAGATGTAAATAAAATCGTATTTTATGAAATCATTTCGAAAGTCAAGTTAAATGGAAGTCAAAAGAAATTGTAAAACGCTTGGAAATGCATTTTTGAAAATAAAACACAAATAAAACACTTAGACACATGAGTACGTAATGGCATTTTATTTCCATGGTAACGGATAGCATGTAAACAACTGAACCAAAACAAATTCACGTCAAGTGGATGAATAATAAGGTTTGTGTTTCCATTTCTATAGGTCGATAGAAATTCTCGAACAAAAAAAAACAAATTAAAATAAAATGAATAACAAATCGACGGAGAACCTAATTGAATCTGGAGGATCTGTTGAAGAGATTCAGGCACTTGATGTTTCACCATTGGATTTGAAAATAACTCGTCAAGTGTCTAACTCTGATCGGGTTGAGAATAATCCAACCATTGATATACATCATAAAAAGGTTTCAAATAGTTTTCTGGCGGAAAAATCCGATGAAACTGGTACGGAATTGAAACCATTACACCCACCAGTTCCGGCAGCTCGGAAATTTAGTCTACCACCAATTGCGAACAAACGAAATGGCAAAGACTTGAAGGAAAATTCGAATCAATTGACGCGAAAACAGTCGCTTCGAAGTGATGATACGATTCAAATGATCAACGAACGAACGGTTGTGCCACAACAGAGTATTGCAGACAATACTGACAGTGAATCTGATTCAGACATACGCCAAAATAACTCGTCCGCTCGAGATAAACGCAATAAGATCGAATTGTTATTGATGAGCAAAGAGGCGAAAAAGCACTTGGGACGACAATTTGTTGGCAGCAGTCAAGCAAATGAGGAAACTACATCATTCATCTCATATGAAGAGAAGCATGAAAAAGAAGATAACTCCGAACACAACCATTCATCGAATCATTCGTCGGCAAATCTAAGAAATTCATCAAATGATGAAAATGGTGGAACAAATAATGAAGCGTTCGTTCCAGACGATGACCCACGCTCTGATGATGAAAATCGCCCGACAACGACGGCTGAAAATGCTGCTGCAAAACATAAAACTAAATCAAAAAAGAAAGATAAAAAATCGAAATCAACAAAGAAGTTGAAGTCGAAGCGCATGAAAAGTACATCGCAAAGTGCTGAGCAAAGAACCGAACACATTGTATCTGCAGAGGAACAAGATGAACAAGCAACATACGATTTCAAGAGAGTCATAGGTAATAAAACGGATATCACTTTTGGAAGGAATAAAAATATAACCATATAAAATTGCTGTTTGTCACATTTTAGTCAAATCTTTTATTGTTCTATGTTTGAAAGCAAAAAGTCTTCAGTTGTTGGAAGTTTTTGTGAAGTGCATTGTCGCAAACAAGAACTCTCCTCGTAATATTTATAGCGATGAAAACTGTACTTGCAATCGTTATTATGATACCTACTTAACTAATTTAATATTCTTTCTTTGTGAGATATTGTCGATTTATCCGTGTTTTTATTATTCGTTCTTATTTTATGATCATAAAGTCAGAGTCTAAGGGGAAAGCCCAATCGGGTCATTAAATATGATTTTATGTTAGGATACATTGACAATATTGCGAAAAAGAGACATTGCAAAATCTGTAGTGTAGAATAAGGGAGAAATTCTTATATACCTTGAAGAATTATTTGCGGTTGTTGCCTTTTAAAATTATTTGAATCCCTAAATAAACCTTGAATTCGAACAAATAGCGTACGATTATAATCAGCCGGATATTTTTCAGGCATTTGGATTCATGAAACTTCAGCCCTACGATTCGATCCACACATAAGACAGCCAAGAGTACGAGTGTCGTTTTACAATTTAAACGATGGTGAATTGCTAAGTAAAAGTAATCCGCTTCGGAATGCCGTTTCTAACTACGAACCAAATAATGTTACATTCATTCAACCGATTCTGAGCAACAGATGCAAATTCAAGGAATCTAGGTGATCAACTATTACTAGTTATTTGTGCATGAATTGAAGAAAAAAAAATTTGAAAGAAAGTTTCATCTTTAAATTTCAATTTACATCTCAATTTCAGCGAAATCGAGTGCGACTGGAATAACGAACTGCTGTTAATAAACGAAGACATTCGTCACATTCAGAAAGATCATGTCATAATATTCTTTGAAATTATGGACATTTTAGGTAATCACAAAATCTGAAATCTTCTCGGAAAATCAATATACCTGCTAGTTCAAAAATAATTCATGTCTTTTTTGATATAGTATCGAATGGCTGGAATCCAATATGCTGGGCATTCCTTCGGCCAGGAAATGGTAAATCCTTTTCAAATATCGATATCCGAAGTGAACTTCAATTACATCATTATCAGCGACAACGATCTAAGCACGGTATAATGGATGAATGGAAGGCACAAAAACGGATGTAAGGAAACTTGAATATTTTCACCATCAATATCTTGAACTTGATTGGAATACTAATCTTCAAATAAGTAATTTCTTCATATTAATAAATTGATGAATTTCTCAGTAAATATCCAGCAAGTTTATCGGTGACAGTGGCATCCTATAAGCCTGAATCAATGCGAAGTGTGTCGTTAACACGGCCAATGAGTGTTTTAGAAGAAGAAATGACCGGAGACATTTATACATGTGATTCGGATGGCGAAGAGCTCAGTGAACAATTGTGTAAACCAGATGATTCCAATTTTGATCAACGATCTCAAAATTTGCCCGAAAAATTGAATCGCAACGAAACGAAAATGTTGAATCTTGAGATGCGTTTGCCTGGACAAGTGAGATAAATTCATTTAGAATTTGATTTCGATAATGATATGTATAAACATTCATGGTTTTAGCAATGCAAATGTCCGAATCGATTGGTATATAAGCATGAAATTTCGGGTCATTCACGTTGTCACGGTACACACTCACAATACGGATCGATGACATCGAAATTCAGTCCTGCTGGTTCATTATTGGCATTCCATCGTACGACGTACATGAGAAGCAATCATGAAATCATTATTATGGACGTCAATAGCTTGCATGTGTCACATGTGCTGGTGGGACATTTCAGCATCGTTTACGATATCGACTGGCTCAGTGAAGATACGTTGATCTCCGTTTCGTCGGATCGAACAGCCATCATTTGGTTTCTTACCGGAAATAGTTTTAAAATTCGGGTGAGTAATTCGGTATTTGCCGAGAAAGTGATTGAGTTTGTGCAAAAAATGACTCTAGGTTCCTATTTTCAAGTTTTAAATTGCAACGTAGGCCTTGAAATTTATATTAAATAACTGTACTTGAGCTAATGGATTTCAAAATAAAACTGTTCTTCTAAAACATTCAGGTGCTACCGCATCCTTCGTTTGTTTATGCGGCCAAATGGTTGAGTAAGTCTCCCGAATACGCATATGTGGTGACAGGTGGACGTGATTGTGTTTTACGAATTTGGAAAATCAGCACAAACATCGAAGCAGACATTGAGCTATGTGACGAGTTGATACAGCACGATAATTACATCACTTCAGTGGCAGTATCGCGCAAATCAACCAAACTATACACCGCTGATTGGAATGGTGTTCTGCTTGAATGGAGCCGTACAAAGAGTACGAAGGGCAAAGATGTTGGGCCATTGTATCATATGCGCAGGTTTTAATCTTTTTTTTTTCATTCAAATTCGTTGAAAGTCGAAAATTAGAAGTGAAATCTGAATGAAGTAATTTTTTTTTTAATTGATAGGAAAATAAAAATCTTTCCGACGAGTGTGGTTCGAGTCGAATTGCATGTAAAAAGCAATCGTCTGTATGTTCAATGTGTCAACGATCCCTTGATTTATGCAATCGAAACAACGTCAGCGATTATTGTAAAAACAATCCGATTTGCCGATGACTATCACATTACACTAGAGCTTCGACACACATTCACTGTATCGCCATGTGGATCGTTAATCTTCACTAAAAATGCCCATGAAGATGAAATCAAATGTATTCGCATATCGAACGAGGAGGCCGTTGGTCAGTTTCGTATTCCAATTTCGTTGACAACAAGAAAGTATTCCGTCACATCGATGTGCTATCATCCTAGCAAAGATTTGATTTCATGTTCGATATTTGGTGATACAATGCATTCATGTTTGTTTTTATTGTGCCATGCAAGCGAAGAGATAAGCAAAAGACATGGAAGTGTGGTTCGAAGTAAGGAAGAAATCAGCTGGGAGCATGATCTGAATACATTACAGCAATGGTACAACAATCGATCGCAAGACATCACCAACACCGATGAGATTGCATTAGACTCCATTTTGAGTCGTATTGACGATTTATTTTTTATGGCCATTCGAAGTCCAAAAAATATCGTTGATACCAAACAACTCAAAGATATGCAAATGTTTTTACAAAAATTTCCCATCGAATCCGCACAAGCGCAATGGCCAGATGATGACAGAATGTTAGAAAATCAAAGCCAAAACGATGAACAGGATCATATAGAATTTTTGAATGATGACAAATTCAATGACACTTCTGCAAAGTCAACTCGGATGTCATTTCAAATGCAGAGCGCTGCAAATCCGTCGTTAAAAAGCAGCGATACACAATCAAACACTAGCTCACGACACACATTCAACATAAATAAACAAACAAAAGCAAAAGCAAAACCAATTCCCAAACTAAATCCAGATGACGTCAATATGCCATCGGATGACAGCCAACCAAGCAATCGAACATTTGAAATTCCAAAATAATAAAGAAAATGCTCGTTCTATAATGCTGACTCCAATGTTTTTATGATTTTACTGACTATGCAATATTGTTAACGCACCAGAAAAAAAAAACACCCGATGGTTGTTGTGTTACACTCACATACACACAAGAAAAAAAAGGAACAGAAAATGAACATGCAAACGAAAGTAAAGTCGAAATGACTGAATCGATGTAACGGATCGTACACAGACGTTGTTTCGTCTCTGTTGTGCTCACTGCATTTTATGGCATTGTTTTTCTCTTCTCAGAAGTAGGTGATCGGTTGGTGGTAGTAGTGGTTGTCTCATTCTATATACGGACAGTATTGGGACTATATACATTATTCAGTGCGAGTAACACGCAGATGCTTTTTCGGTTTGTTTCTGACCAACTAAAGGGATTAATATTTTGTTTTTCGCATAATTTTTCTTGTCATTTTTTTGCCCGATGCTCAGTCATCCAACAAAATGTCAAAACCACCTGTAAGATTTTTTTTCTTCTTTTTTTTCAAATTTTGCATGGATTTAATAATAAAAAAAACGACAATTTATATAATTTGCGTTTTGTCTGTATTTTCTTGAACATGTTTCAGTGTGACATAAAGAAAACAGTAGCGAATTTGTTGCGAGCGCCGTATCCATTCCCACATGAACACCACAGAACAATTTACGAACAATGCGGACGAATGTTTTTCACTCAAATCAATTTGTATCGATGCAATTTTTGTAAAATAAAATTGCTGGGCGAACCACAACTTCTTGACCATAACAAAAGTTTTGGCCATCAGACGGAGATGGAAAAAGAAATTGCCGTAAGATTGAAAAAATCCACAATCGAAAAGTAGGAATCGAACGATTAGTTTTGAAGAACATTGTTATTGCCAGTATTTTTACAGCGTTTAATTTGTTGTTTCTTATTCCAAATTCACTAGAAAGGTGACAAGCATCAAGTTGTCGGGGAAGGTGAAAGAAAAGTTAGCGAGCGCCGCAGTACAAGCGGCACAAATGAAATTGAATGAGGCAATGGCCGAATTGAAAAACGAATATGAATTGTATCGACTGAGTCCAGCTCTGCATCCAATGTAAAAACTGATTGAAAAATTCGAATCGGGCTTATTTTTGAAGTAAATGTGTTTTTTTCTTTCGAAATAGGTATGCTAAGGAATGGCAAGTCTATTACCTACGACGCTTAAGCGACATTTTGGCCAGTAAATATTTTCACCTTTTTTACACACTTCTTCTGTTCTGTTGAAACATTGAATAACATGTGACACCGATGTATTTTGTAAAATGTAGTAAATATTGATCCACGTGAATACGACTTTACGAAAGATTGGTCCATGTATTGGGTTCAACGAATCCAGGTTTACTATAATGAAGCCATGCAAAAAGTCATCAACACCATTGGCGCAAACTACAAGTTGACGTTAGATGAAATGGACCTGACTGGGGCATCACAGACAGATAATGCTCAACATTGTGCTAATGGTGATCACATCAATAAAGATCACGGCAAAAGTGATTCGGTCAAAGATAATCTTGCTAATGGTGCTCGTATGAGTGAAGACCGTGCCTATGTCGATCGCGATTTGGGTGGTAATGATTCGGTCAATGACGATAAATCCAATAATAAGATTCATGCTGACAATTTTTCAATTACAAACGGTGAATCGATTTCAACTGTGAACAATGATAATGTCATTGAAATTGGTAAGCAAATATACGTGCTAAATTGTACTTTTTCAACGGTACGTGCTTCTTTGCATGAAAATGAAAAAAATGAAATCGTTTCTACTGCCATAAACTATTATGTTAGTCTTATTAGTATGTTTCGTATTATCAACAAGATAATAACCATGTTTCTTCAAATTAAAACTTTCATCAATTGTAAATGTTCATTGTTTAAGCCATGTTTTGATCAAAAACTGAATTTTATAATGATTTGCCAATAAAATTTATTTATTAGACTCTGCAGCAACGACCGAAGACGAGGCCAGCGAATGCGAGTTCGAATCTGGATCCAAAAATCGGTCAAAAACAGACAATGGGTCTGAATCTGAATGTGGTGATGACGTTGCAACATCAAGATTCCGTCTACCTTTGCCCCAGAATTTAATTGACGAAGCACTCAGTTGGGCAAAGGATGAATCTTCGATGAAATCGCAGGAAGATTCCTCCACCGCAACCATCACAACCGCCAAAGAACCATCAAATGAAATCAAGGAAAACGATGCGGCAATCGATTTCGATGCCGTAGCCGATTCGGTTCTATCGTTTTTCCAAACGTGTGGCCTAAATCCGGCCAATTTGTCCGATGAACAGGTGCAACAATACATTGAATACATCGTGAAATCCACACCGAAACCGGCAAATGACAGAGCTGGATCTGTTGAAACTCTCATGTCGTCGGATAGCAACGATGATTCTTGGCGATACGTGTGACTAATCAAATTACATGACTTTCAATCAATTTCATTCCATCTACATTTTCATTTCATTCGAAAATTCCGCTAAATACCAAATGTCATTTGAATCGACATAACCTCAATAAAAAGGCGATAGGTTTAATACATTACTGGTTGTATCATTAAGCAAAATAATAATTTATGTTTTTCATTAGAATGTTTTAAGTGTTTTTTTATGACATTTTGGTTTTATTACTTCTGTTTTTTTACAATGGCACAAACAACCGAGGTAAGATTAGGTTTGATTGTCGACAAAAGAAATAATTCAAGATTCTCTATCTATTTTTGATGTTTGTGTCCATAGAATTTTCCAGCATTGAAAAATGATAATTTGTTGAGAGCGGCAAGAGGTGAAGACGTGGATCGTATTCCAGTTTGGGTTATGAGACAAGCTGGTCGCTACTTACCTGAATTTCAGGCAGGTGTTTTTGTTCCATCTTCAATTCATCGTTCAAAACTGGTTCATTGTAATTATATTATCACATCTTGTTTTCACCATGGCCCTTTTAGGAAGTACGTAAATTACATGACTTTTTCACAATTTGTCGAACGCCAGAGCTGGCTTGTGAAGTGACCATGCAGCCAATACGTCGCTTTGATCTCGATGCATCCATTATTTTTTCAGACATTCTTGTGATCCCACAAGCGTTGGGCATGACAGTGGAAATGAAACCGGGACCATTCTTTCCCGAACCACTTGTTACACCGGACGATCTAAGCAAACTAACTGCGGATGGAGCTGTGAGTCGACTAAAGTACGTTGGCGATGCAATCACCATGATGCGTCACAAATTAGATGGAAAAGTGCCATTGATCGGATTCACGGGTGCACCGGTAAATGGAATTTTCTTTCAAAATCTAATTTTGATGTGAATTTTTGGTAAATTTAGAATATTTTTTGCCAATAAGCGATTGAAGAGACCATGTTGTTGATTTGATTCAAGACTCTCCTTTACTAATTTAAATTTTCTTTTTCAAAGTGGACGCTGATGGGATATATGATTGAAGGTGGTGGCAGTCAAACAATGTCCATGGCCAAAAGTTGGCTTAACGAACACAATGAAGCAAGTCATAAACTACTGTCACTGCTGACCGATGTTATTGTCGACTATTTTGAGATGCAAGTGAAAGCCGGTGCTCAAATGCTGCAAGTGTTCGAGTCAAGCGCTGACTACATCAATAAGGAACAATTTGCGGAAGTATCATTGCCTTATGTGCGCCAAATTCGTGATCAACTTCGAAAACGTTTGCAAGAACAATCGATTGAACCAGTTCCAATGGTCTTGTACGCTAAAGGAGGCGGTCATTCTCTGTCTGAACAAGCGCAATGCGGATATGAAGTCATTGGATTAGATTATAATGTGGATCCACTCGAAGCCAGAAAAGCAGTCGGTTCAAATGTGACGCTTCAGGGCAATTTAAATCCGGCTGACATGTATCTTCCAGAGGTAATGAACTCATTGGGTGAGGCTATTTGGTTTCGAATTCAACGTGTTTCTATTTATAGGCTGAGCTAAGAGCCCTAACAGATCAAATGGTACGGAAGTTTGGGAAGAAACGTTATATCGCAAACTTGGGACATGGAATTACACCGCAAACTCCAATAGAAAGTATGAATGTTCTAGTTGAAACAGTGCACACTGTATCCAAAGAGCTATAGAATGTAATGATGCGTTGTTTGAGGAGTAAAAATTGGTGGCGGTTCATTTTGTTATATTTTTTAAGGAAATCGTTGTAGAGCAATGAATAAATCCGTTTTTTCACAACCAAATAGTTAAACACTTTTACATTCTTGTGCGTTATTCACTTCTTCTATGAGACTCTTGTATAGGAATGTAGCATCAAGAAATGTGTTCGTTCATCATTCACAGCATGAACAGACCCACAGACGTTTTTGTTCCAATTCAAACAACACACTTGGCAGAGAAAAAGATTTACGATTAGGTTATGGTTGAAATGCACAGTGATGCCTTTATGATTGGTTCATTTGTTTCATTTTATTTAAAACTTCATTTCAGTTAATGAACAAATAAAAAAATTCGATGGAATTGAAAATCGAAAGAAACAAAATTCAAGTGTTGAATTTTCTTGTTTGTATCATCCAAGCAAAAAATGCACGCTCGCCTCACATCTATTCGTCGTTTGATTCAACATTTTCTGTCTGCAAGCCTTTGAATGTTTCAGCTGGTACGTATGTGACCAATGTGTACAATTTGTTGGCTGAGTCTTCATCGTCGTTTCGTCGGCGGGCCAAACGAACACGTACACGGAATGGTGTGCTCCTGCAATGACACAAAATGGAAAATTCAATGGATCACAAAATTCGATTCGAGTTGATGTTTTTGCGAAGATGAGAAGTTGATGGTTTAAATGCTACTCACCGGATACCCTTTGACCAAATGTGCTTGTTCAAACGGGTGTCAATACGGACATCCTTGGTGCGCATCTCTTTTTCGGCAAATTTGCGGATTTCTTTGATGGCGCGTGGAGCACGTTTCTTGAAACCAATGTTGTGTACGCGTTTCGACAAGTGGATGGTGCATTCACGGGTCACAACTTCGTTGATTGCCGATTTGTTTCTCTTCTCAACCTTTGGTTTGGCCATTTTTATAAGTAGGCAATAGAACTAGTCGAACTAACCTAAGTAAGTAGCACGTCGTTTACAACAACACACACACACACACACCAATGAGAGAAGAAATAACAAAATTATTAGTAATTTTATCGTGGGTTTCAGTTTAAGTTGGCGAAAAATTCCACAATTTTGAATGCAATCGTCATGAACACAACGTTGAAACATGAAATAGTTGAATCGAATATTCTATTTCTTCGAGGCCGCAAATCAATCAACAATAAACACTATAGCTTTTGACACTAGATAAATTATGTTTCGTTGCGATCGCTTGAAAAATCACAGAATTTCACCGAAAAATCACCTTGACATCGATGAAATATGTATTTAATTCGATTTATCATATTATTGCGCATCGATTGCATTCAAAATTTCGGGAAAATTTCCAAAAAATTACAAGATGATTTGTGATTAAATTTTATAAAAATTGAAATGCACACCTCACAGTGCAGACGACTCGGAAAAAAAGAAAGATGGACGGTACCAAATGTCAGAATTTGCTTACACATTCACAATTTGTTCAACATGCGGTTGAAATGTCACTTCGACAGAGCACACACACATGTAAAATCATCTCGCTGTCTCTGTTTGACGTCTCTGCATGATTCAGTGGCGCCGCCATGTAGCATTTTTTCCAATGATATTCAAATTTAACGCAAATAACCTTCTTTTCATTTCTTTGAACGTTTTTTGTGGATAAATCTAATGATTTATCGAAATTTTAATAAGTTCCAATGATTTTTTCATAAATGCTTTTTCATCCACCGTTCCTTACAATTTTATTCACTTTTGATCCTATTTTAACATGCTGAGAATACCACGTGCAAATTTTCTTGTGAAGCTGAATGGTACTTCCGTAGAATACTTTTAATGCCAAAAGAAAAATACAAAAAAGCGCTTAACTTTGACTAGCATAGCATACGTAGAAAGTATTGCATAAAAATGATTCATTGACACGGTTCAAGTGTAGTTGTATAAGGCACTATTTTCAAGGTACACGATTGCAAACGCAGCACTTTCATTTGCTTATTTCTTTGAAGTCGTTCATAGTTCGTGGCCTTCGAAATAGCAAAGAATTCTTCCATATAGCAAAATCGAATATGATGACCCAAAAGCATTCAAATAGCTATCAAAATTGCATTTTCATTTTCAAGACACCATGCATTGAAGGTTATTTCGTAGACCATTTTGATATAACCTAAGCGAAATGAATCAAACGCAACAAATTAACAAAATACAATAATTTATTTTTCAAATAATTTCCACTCATTTTTTTACAAAAAAAAAAAAAATTTCATCGAAGGAAATTTAATTTAAATAAAACAAAATATATGTATCAATATGTGATGCCAATAGACCGAAATGTTCAATATATCTAATTCAAATGTTAAAAAAAAAATCTGAGCCATTTCTCTCTTTCGATAACAAAGCTGCTCCGTAACGTTTTTGTTTCTCATGATTTCAAAAGCAAAAAAATGATTGATTCTGCATTTTCCCATCTCCAAATTAATTCTTCAGTTACAATTCCATTTGATTCCGTATGAGGATAAATATTAAATTTGAATTGATCAACTAAATTATAATATGGCATCTTAAATCTAAAATTAGAAAAAAAAATCAGCAAAGAGATTTCCCAAGAATTGCTTTTTGTAGTAAATGTGATGAATTATGTATATACAAAATATTGCTGTTGATTAATAATACACACAGGTAGCATTTGCCCGCATAAATACTGTGTCATTTTGTCAGAGTGTGGGGGGTTCACTTTTCGCAGTTCAACGTGGTTTTTATGTTGTCGCTTGATTGGTTTTGAAACAGTGTGTCGAATCGAATCATCAAACACACGATGATATATCTATTGTAACTAAATTTTGTGCTCAAATGATTGTTCTAGTTAATTGCAAAGGCACTGCGCGGGACTTTAATATTTACGTTAAATATTTCTCGAACTCAAAAAAAGAAGAAAATAACGGGAAGAAACCGATAAACGATCGGGATGAGCGAATGCAACAAAAGTTGAACAATTTTTTCGTTCTTTTTTTAAAACTAATTCGGAAGACTAAACAACAAGGGAGAAAAATGAGTGCATATTTGTTCAGCTCATAGTAAGCTGTGTGATCACTGCCGTTTTGTAAAATAAATTATTATCTCATTTCTTTTTTTTTTTGATATGATTAGAATTGTTTGTTGTTAAATTATTATTCATGATTTAATGTTTGCCATAATATATTTCGTTCCAATACTTATGTGTGTTGTTAAGAAAGATAAGTCGGGAAAAAAACACATCAATTGAGCCGGAATTCTGGTTTGTTTCTTTTTTTCTGTCTGTTGGCACTTAAACGTGCCGGATATTTCATTAGCTGCATTAATCTTGGCCGATTACAGTACAGCCATTTCACATTCTTCGTTTATTTGATTTTACAATTGACTCGTTCCCTTTGATTTGTTAAGTGATTAGAAATGTTGCTCATCGTCAAAATGATATGTTCCATTCGTTCGACGAAATCACATTTTCTATAATTCTATTAATTTTGGATCTCATCTCTCTCTCTCTCTCTCTCTCTTTCTCTCTCTCTCTCTCTCTCTATCTCTCTCTCCGTTTTACTCTATCAAAAAAAATTCTGCGATTAAACTTCAAATATATTTACATAATAATTTCAACCGAAATGTCGATTTGCATTCTACAAACTGGTTTCAAATCCTGACGTCATCATTTTGTTCAATCTGAGTGACAATTTACGAGTAAACCGTATTCAATCTTGATAGTTTCATTCGATATTCACCGCACAATTTATCTACACTTAGTATATTGGGTGATTAGTGAGGATTTTGTTTCAATTTTTTTTTCTTTGTTGTTGTTCCTGTTGTTGTATATTATTCAGTACGTGAATACATTAATTCAATGGAGAAAAAAGTCTATTCATTGAGCACATCGTTTTGGAGACGAAACGATGACACGTTCGGTGCCCTTCTCTTGATCCTCTTTGAAGTACACCTTCATGATGACAATGTCGCCGGTGCTTAGCGTTTGACAGCCTGCGTCTAATTTCACATTTGAGCCCTGCGTAAAGCAATGGACCATTTTTAATTGCACATCAAATGGGGTTTATGTATAAAATATCAAAATAATTATGTTTTTGTATGAATTTTACCAGCACATGATTGTTGGTTGCGTTGAGGTTAATGTTGCGCTGATTGTTCATCTGGACTTTGTTGTTCTGACAATTGCATAGGCAGCATCTGTTCGAGAATTTAAAAAAAAAAATGTAATTAATTTGTTTAAGAATAGTTTTTCTTTCTGAATTTTGACTCACCGTTTCGGCTCCGTTTTGATGAATTGAAAACTGTCGTAGGAACTGCTTGAGTTGGATTGCGTATCGGTTAGGTTTGGAAGAGTTGTGATCACCTGTACAGAAGAAAATTTGAACTGAAAAATAAGTATACAATGCTTTAAATCAGGTATTGCATTCGATTACGTACCGGATCGCTAGGCAACAGTGTTGCTGCGGACAAGATTGCTTCTAATTTATCGATTCGTTCGATACGGTCCATTGTTTTGTCGGACAAAATTTCGTCCATAAGCTGCATCGATTCGGTCAAACTGGGTGGCTCTGAGTTGCGCGGAGAGAATGTTGTTGGCCCTGGTAACGAATTATCTGATGGAACACTGTCTAAACTTGGATATTCTTGATCAACCGTGTCTGGTTCGACGTCATCTTCCGAATCGCTGTTTGAACTATGGGGCAAATAGTTATTTTTTCAATGGTTTTTCTTTTGGTTTTTTAATTGGAAATAAACTCTTACCGATCTTGGCCAATGCTTTCGAGCTTCTCCAACTTTCTGGCCACCTTGTGTGAACCTCGCAATTTTTCTTTCTCCTCTTCCGTCAAATCCAGATACCTACATATAAAGTGAAATTATTTTAATGAACGCGATCAAAAGCATTAGAACAAATGTCATCGAAATGACCGCCAAAAATCCCTACCGTAGAAGACGAATTTCGCGATTGCTCAATACAATGTTCTTGTTCGATTGACTCAATTTTTGTTTCAGATCAGCGACCTCTGTGCCAAGTTTGCGTTGCTTCTTTCGTGATCGCACCTCGCTTGGTTTGATCAGCATCAGTATTTGTTCAGTACACAATTCCGACAGTAAGCCTTTAAATTCCGGTTTAATTGCCCTGAAAATGAATTGAAAGATAGTATCAAGTTTAAAGGAAGAATTCAAAGAGGGGAGAAAGAAAAGGAATTCGAGGGAAAGAAAGGAAGGAAGAAGCGCAGCCGAATGTGTTTACTTACTCTGACATTTTGGCATAGAGTTGCTCATTGATGAGAACAAGCACATCGACGGCTGCATAAAGTAGCATGTCTCTGGACAATGGTCGCCGAGACCAGTACTTTTGATCGCGTCGATAAATATTCTTGAGTTGATCTTTCATCGGATTCTTTGGTGCGTTATAAATCTCACACAACGTATTCAATGAAACATTTTTCACTTTGTACACCTGCTTGTTTTGTTCTTGGTACTGAAGCAAAGCGTGGGCAGACTGCGATAATGAAAAAGAAATAGGATTAATTAGTGCCAATAGACAATCGAAGAATATTCAATCAAAGATAAAATATGAACAGAATTAACTTGAGATGAATTTAATTGTCGAATGAGATGAAAAGCTAGTTTTTCTTCGAAACAAATGAAAAACAGAACAATTACCTGCGTGTCGAAGACATTCCGAAGTAATACTTTGAATTGTACAAACAGATTGACCGAATCATTGCGACAGTCATGAATGATTTTGATCACATTATCGTTTTCGAGCAATGCTTTCAAGCCACCCTCAGTCATAATGTTTGGACACTGTAGCACATCAAAAATGAATGCTTCGCCTCGCACGGTGCCAATTTCGACCAGCGTTAGTTCTCCCTTGAGTCCCAAATTGATACCCTCACAATCGACCGAAATCACAACCGGTTCATCCTTGGTGGCCGACTTTGCGATCGCTTCGGTCACAAATTGACTCTCATTAACCGTGGCAATGACTCGTGTGTTCTGCAATACTTTAATTTTCCACGTATCACCGATAAACATATTGTTGGCACTGTTGTCGCTCGCACTTTTCACCGGGCTCGGTGTCAACTGTGACCCAGTCGTGTTCGTTGTTGCTGCTGCTGCTGTTGTTGTCGTATTGGCATTGGCCACGGTATTTGCATTGTTTGTTTGATTAGTCAAGTGCACGCTAATGGCAGTGTTTTGCTTGTCTTTTTCGTTTTCGGCCAGCGTTTTGATGACCAGATTGTTGATGCGCTGTTTGAGTGACTGGTTCTTGTTGCCCGCAAAATTGGCTCGATCGTTTGGTGTGGCTGTGGCTGTGGCTGGTGGTATTGGTGACATGGCTGGACTACGATTCGATAGCGGTGACGATGTATCGGAAATCTGTGTCAATGAATTCGGTTCGGATGTTGACAACAGTGTGTTGTTGGCGCTTTTCGGGCAGTTATTTTCGCACAAATTCTCCATTTTTATATCGAACTCCGGAATGTAACTGTCGAAGCCGCTGTTTGGCTCACTCTTGTTATTGTTATTGTTATTATTGTTAGTGGACACATTGTTATTGATGCCACCGCTGCCGCCATTTGTCGTCACTTTCACATTCGAGACGGGTTCGTTAAGCTTAAAATCACCGACAGTTGTACCACGAGACACCGGCGATTGGGTACGTTGCTGCGTGGATGGTGTCAATGCGGCCGATGTATAGTTATTGTTCAGACAATCTTTGGCGCGGGCCGTTTGTTGCTGAATGTGCAGATCCGATAGAACCGGCTTTTGTAGCAATGTGACTAGATTCGACTGAATGTGAAAACAATTCGAGAACAATTTCAGAAATGTGCTCAAATCACACGGCGTTTTGAACATCGAGAACCATTGCTCTTGCGGAAATGTCGCGGTGACTAAATGGAATAGCTGATCGACAAGAATCGGACCTTTTGGAATATTTGAATGCAATTCGAATTAGTACAAAATTAAAAATTGTGCACAAATAATAAAATATCAAGTGAAAAAATCGGAAAAAAATCATCTTTGAAATTCCATAAATTTGATCTTATATTTCATTACTATGAATTTTTTTTCTGCAGTACTAAACTAATTCAGAACAAACCTTTCGATTCGATGCATGACGCAAAGAAATCCAACATTTGTTGTGTGGCCACCGTATCGATCGATGGTTGTGGTAAATGGAGACGTTCCGATAGTGGAAGTTCTTGTAAATCATCACAGCCAACCAAGACAACACATTCGTCAATGATTTGAAATGTGTCGGTATGCTTGCTCAAAAACTCCGTAAACTCTTTGATATGCTGACCTAAAATCCATTCAACAAAACAAATCATCCGAATTAGTTTTTAACAATACTTTCGATTCCAGACCGAATTTTTTCGTTAAACATTTGATGTAGCGCACATAAAAATACCCAAAAATTAATACTCAATATTTCGACGTGCTAGAAGAGAGAAGTGAAAAGAAAATCTACCTGAGATGTGTCGAATTTGTGGTGATGCTTGACTTCGATGACCGAGAAGACTTTTGATTGGAACTTCTGTGCCGATGCCATACTGCAGTAATTTGTGCTTGAAATAATCCTTTGATTCTTGTATGTAGTCACGAGTGCCGCCGCCAAGCATATCACTCGACGCGGATTTCTCAAACGAATTTACTAAGACATGGTCACCATCGATAACGAAAATCGCCGGATACTGAGCAAGGAACTTCTTTAAACCTGTACCAGAAAAAAGAGAGAACACAAAATTCGATTCCGGTTAAATTCATTTGTTGAATGTGGGTGATTCAAGTCGATGTGGTGGATGAACCGTTTGCCAAATGAAACCACATAATTGATATTTATTTCCCCATTGTGGGATAAAGACCAATGCAACACGGTGTACATGTATATTTCATATGAGAATACCGCAAATTTGCACACACACACACACATGATTCGTGTACTAAATATATTTACTTTATTATCTGGTAAACGCACACACTCCAATGCCAACTGTAATCATGTGAGTACAATAAACGTGCCCTATAATAGCAGTGTCAAATATTATTGGCAAACATCATAAATCTATTGACGAAATTGATCACCAGAGACCCGTTTGCCTTCGATGTAGGATCTTAGGAAACGGACGACAATGACATGCCACAATCAGATTTAGATGAATTTTCTTTTCAATCCCCCTCTCATGTGCTCAAGCCTGCCTCATTGATGGGGTTCTATTTCGTTCTGTGCTATTGCATTGGAACATCTTGTATCACACAAACAACCCTTGTGCTAGTAGCGCGCCCGGGATAAGCATAAGAAGCAAAGGGATAAAAGACAAGGTAATATTGAATAATTCAATATCAATGCATGCTGTGGTGGAACATCACCATTTCAGCGGGATTTTTCGTTCATTAATTTGGGATGATAGGCTCCTCGGTGGCGCACTGCTAAAGTTTGTCTCGATAACGAAAATTGGATAATTTTCGGTTTTATTTTTATTTTGTCGATAGAATGCACACCTGATCATCGTTCTATGAAAAAAGTTTAATTAAGACTATCGACTCTTTCAAATTTATGGCCTCAAACAAAAAAAAAAGAAGAAAAAAATACAGCAACGAGCGTCACACAACGCTGGATTTAGCTAATTAAGGTATTTCATATCGTTGAACACCTTTATCGTTACCACTTATTCGCTGGTGTGATGCAATGAAATCAACGGCAAACCTTTCGATGGATATATACATATAAGTCGAAGAAAGTACTTCGATAGCATATATTTTGTATTGGCAATAAGAAATTCGATATTAAGACACAACAAGTTCCTCGTTACGCTTATGAGTATCGAAAGAGCCAAGTGTCATTTAACATTTGGTACATAGCTTTTTTTACTTTTTTTTAAAAACTTTTTCAATTTTCTGTGCAGAATCTTTTGAGTAAGTTCTTATTTAATTCATTTTTCCAATCGCTTAAAAATACAAATCCAATAAACCGAAGCTCTCAAAATAAGCAAACAATCGATTTCAAACGGTTTCAAAATTCAGTTAACTCGGCAGTTGCTTCGGATTAAAATACATATTGATAATTGTGGTGTTGCCATTAATCCGACGGGTGGAAGCAATTCCGTATTTCTGTACTGAAACTATAGAAATGTATGTTCATCATTCTGGCCCTCTACAACTGTTTTTGAGAACTAACATCGGCATTTTTTTAAGTAATACGTTCTTTCATTTGTTTGGCTATAATTTCTATTATATTCGATTTGGTTACCGATATGTGATTTTTACGTTTAAATAAGTTATTTAAAATAAATCTGAATACATTTGAAATTTGCTGCCCCTTTTATAACTCATTGATTTCAGTCCTAAAAATCAGTTAATTTTCACTAGTTGCTATCTTGTTTTGTAAACAATGTGTACAACATGAACTGTCAACGGCTGACAAGTGTCGTGTATTGAATATGACAGAATGCTTCAAAATTAAGTCGATAGAGGGCCAGAAGTTCGAACTGTCGCTTCCACCCGTCGCATTAATCGGTTTTACAATATAAATCAAAACTTTGTTTAATTGATTTTCCATATTGTCGTGGAAAAAATACAATAAGTTTCCATTTGAACCACACCATAAAGAAATTCTCCTCAAGTGACACTGAACAAAATGAATAATTGGTCGTTTTTCGTATAAATCATGGAATTCACTCTAGAATTATTTCTTCCCCAATGCAAAGCAAACTCTCGCTACTGCTGTGCACTCAAACTCAATCAACTTATTAAATCCATTTAATTTAAGCAATCGCATCACAACACTGAGGCGATTATGTGGAACCAACCGAACAAACGACCGGTTGCAATACTAACGAATGAGTGGAGGAGACGAAAAACTTTTAGTAAAATTGAATGCCTCACGGCATAATCTCAGTGGAATTGGTGGTATATTTATCTTCCATTGCTTCTCTGCTTCATTGCAAGCGCGATGAAACGAGCCGACAATTTTTCAATGTCGCACTCAAAGATAAATTGTGCAAGTGTCTATGTGTGTCGATTCAATTTTTCGCGTAACGAAATTCAGTGATGGGGTTGTTGCATCTCACCAATACTTTTTTTTGTCTTGTTCGATACTGAAAATTCTTATGCTCTATCATTTTCATCTGTGTGCTCAAAGTAGAAGAAGAAAAAAATATGCCGATAAAACGCTTCAAACTCTGGCGCCCGATTTCTACTCTTTTTTTTTTCTACTCATCGATTGATTTGAACGTGTTCATGTATCCAGCTTGAAGTGAACAACCATTGAACTATCTCCCGTATCGAATGCTAAATAAATGATGCCATTTATGGTTTTACGAACGAAGGGAGACACAAATTTAAGCAGAAAGTTTTTAGTCAATGAGTGGATGTGACATAATATCGAGAGATTTGGTCTTTCGGAAGGGGGAGAGGGAGTTGTGGTTTGCGTGTGTTATCGAAATTGTGCGGTTGAATATTATTTCCTAATTTCCGAAACGAGCGAGAGAAGCACATTATCATCGACTGCAACAGCATGAAAATCGACCGAGAGAGCGATAGAGGGAGAGAAAGAGAGAAAGAAAGCGAACTAAAAGCAAATTCCACATAAATACGAAAATTATATTTATTCATTTTCGTTAATAATTGAGTGGGATCTGTATCGTGTTGTGTAACACGTTGGTGTCGTGCCATTTTTCGGCTAAAATGGCACAAGGAATAAAGCCGAGCAAAATATGCTTGATATTCGAACTGTCTGTTTGTGCACGATGAGAGAGCACTACCCATATTCTATACATCCCATGTGCTCGTCGTATTTATTTCGGTTGTGCATGTTTAGAGAAAATCACATGCAACATCGCTGCTCTCACTCCCTTCCTCCACCTCTTTGTCTCCTTTTCTCTCTTTCTCTCTCTCTCTCTCTCTCTCTCTCTCGCTCTCTCTCTCTTGTCCATGCAACATCCCAGCGAATAAATTGTGTTGTCCAAAGACACTTTCGTCGTCGGTTAAATAAAAATAATTTTATTGAAGTGTCCCAGTACAGAAGAGGGCAAATCACACAGGGAATTTGTATTGCCGTGAACCACGCCATGGCTATACACACCGTATCTCTGCCGTTTGGTGGTTTTAATTCACAAAAATTCTTGTCGCACAAGTGCTACGGATTTTTTTCTATTAGTATAAATGTTTGATTTAGATTGAAACAGCCCATTCGTTCCGAAATAAACAGTGAAAATAATGCGAGCGACAATTCTTTCATGATTTTGACAAATTGCGCTTTTAATTGCGTCTGTGGGAATTTCTGATTGTCTAGCACGAATTGTAATGAATTTCCCAAACAAAAATGAATAAAACCACCATAAATCCATGAATAAATGAAGATAAAACGAAATACACAACGCTTTTAAAGTAATTCGGAAAAATAGACCGCTTTTAAAAGCTACATGTGCTCTCGACATTTATTCACACTTACCTATACGGCACACTTCTCCAGTGGCAAATAGTGTAAGTGAAAAGCGAGAACACTTTGACTTTCCAGCAATTACACTGAAAGCTAAAATGAAACAGAAAAATACAAGAGAAATGGTAACAGCAACAACCCCATCTCCATTTTCTAAGATAGCATGTCAATGGTGCACGCACACACACACACACACACACACACACACACACGTACAATTGCTAAATGTTTATATTGCTGAACCGAAATGCAAAAACGACATTCCACATATATATAAAATACACGATACGTAGGAAAAAATCAACAAATGGAAAGAAAAATCCAAAAACGTAACATCAATAGTAGGTAGTCGCACGATGCACGTATGCTCAAAATGGGACGACGGTAAATACCAAATACAGAAAGTCAAAAAAAAAATATAAACATGTATATGCACGCCAAGACGATCAGCCGCCAAGAAAGCAAGCGAAACACAAGACGAACAAAATTCACACACTTCAACTCAAGACTCAAACTGAGAGCGAGAGAGAGAGAGAGAGAGAGAGAGAAAGCCACACATAAAACCGACTGAGAAGATATTTACGAAATAGACATAAAATAAATAAATAAATATCCCTTGCATATAGTGTCGTAATTTTTATTTTGCGAACCGCGCCACGAATGCGGCATGAATAGAGAATATCTCTTGTAGAGCGAGTACAAGTTTATATGTTGAAAAGTGGAAAAAATTTCGCTGTGAACATGGAAGGAGGAGGTGGTGGTGCTGCTGTGGTTCGACCGACGAAGACCAAGGTAAAACCACCAAAATTTAATCGAAGTAACGACGAAAAAAGGAAAAACAGTCACACAAACAAACAACAACAACAACAAAACCAATTCAATACCGCAACTCAGGTCATCATATCATACCACTTCGTAGAAACGAAAGAGAGAGAATTTTTCTTTTACCCCAGTCGATACTAAAACACAGTCCAAACAAACAAAAATATTTTAGCGTCGAATTCTTAATTTTCATACTTTTGGGCTTTCATTGGTGTATTTTTGCTATTTTCTACAAATAAGAAATTGAATCTAAGGCTGAACTGCTTTTTTGTGGGCACAAATAAATTCATACCTATATGAAGACGTTTACTAATCAAATTTGGTCCGAAAAAATAGCAAATGACGTAGACAAAAACAAGAAAAAGTAGTTAAAAGATAATGTCTAACAATCAATATGACGTTAAATAGAGCGATTTACGCACCCCCTTACACACATCAAACACAATGTGCGTTTGGTGCTTGCCTCAACAATCAAATTGACATCTATGGCGATTTCGATTGCTGGGCGACTATTCGGTTCGTTCCGCATAAGTGCCGACCGAATCGATGTAAAATGACTCGTTGCCGCCGCACACACAAACGCACACTTATCGATGAACAACGAAATTTTCAGTTTGAACAGCAACATCAACAGCACAGATAACATGCCAAATCAGCGGCATTCTATGATAAATTAACAGCTGCTCAAGTTAACCGAAATTCCATATCAATATAACAACAATAAAGCCGTACAATGAAGTCTTTGATTTGGATCCATATCTATGAAATGGTTGTAAGCCAACGCGCGATTATGTCCAGATCGATTTTGTCGAGTCAATATGCCAACGATGTGAAAAACTAATTGTGTATTAAAATTCAATGTAAGACATGGAAAAATCACAAAAAGAACATTCTCTCATGCGTTTTTGTGTCGCCGGTTTTGTCGCTGCCTGCAAATGGACGATGCGACGGTATATGTGTGTGTGTATGTGGTTTTGCAATTCATGTTTCGTGTCTATTGGCATGCTGGAAACTTTGATTGATTTTTTATTCACGCAACATAAAAATGGAAACCGAAATATTTTCAAAACAAAAGCTATAAAGAGGGAAAAAATAAATCAACATATTGCGTGGAATGTCATTTAACGACATTCCATGCGCTAGAGTCAGCTCCATAAACATAAGAAACAATATACGTAATACAAAGGGGTACATTTTTTGGGAAATATTTTCCAATTCATTCAAACACTTATTGGATCAGTGTAATATCGACGGGCTGTCGCTAAATCAGATGGATATTCAAATCTTGGATCGATTTTGGTTTTTCAGACTACGTCAACTTGTGTCACAAGGAAGTTGACAGGAGAAAAAAATATTTGAAACGATAAACGAATTACTCTTAATCGAATAGAAAGAAAGAAATTGATATAAGGGTGACAATTTTTGCAAGGAGAATTGGGAAAATGTGAAAAACATGGGAAAATTGATGTAAACTCATTGAGGAACAATCACACAAGACAAATTGTTCTCAAAACCACACATGTTCATGAATAAGGTTTACTCGGCGAAGTATTTTAACTTTTTTTCAAAGGGTTTGTCATCTTCTGAGACGACCGAAGCGATTGACTGTCAAGCATGAATTAACGAACATTTAATGGAGATTCAGCATGATGGAATGTAGTACACATTCATTTTATCAGCATTAAATACATTGTTTTACCTTTCAAAATCGATTTAAATTGTGGGCCAAATAATAAAAGAAACGCGTATTTCACTTCCCTAAATCCCTTGTTTATTATATCATTCATCGTGTTAATAAACTCTCTCTCTCTCTTTCTCCCGCGCGCGTCTTCTGTGGAATCTATAAATATGCCGTATAATTTATTATTATTATTTATTACTACAGTTCATGTTTGTACAACTGGGAATTTGTTATAGAGTGCGCGAGCGGTCTTTATAACGCCGTTCGGAGCGCAAGTTGGCTTCGATTATTGAAATTGATTTGGTTTTGAGTACATACCACCCGACCACCGACGACAACGACGACGATAACGTCGGAAAAGAAGTCAGAAATTCGTCAATGAAAAAAAAAGAGCAGAAACATAAACAAATTTATGTGTTTGTGTTTATGTGCTTTAATTTAAATGCCCTGAAAATGATGTTTGTGGCATTAACCTGTTTTGTGTTTTTTGGCTTACACGTCTTCGTGTTTGCATTCATTTTTTACGGTACATATCATTTTGGTGCGTCGCATTTTTTCCCTCTTCTGTTTCAGTAATCAGACATTTTGAACCTTATTTCGTTGCATTTGTTTCTCATTCCAGTAATAGCAAAGCATTGCTCATTCTTTCCTCCAGCTATGGATTCTAAGCAAAGCAAATGTATCACCCCCTCAATCAATTTAATTTCTGGATCAAGTGCACTCGAGAAAAATGTACGTGTTACATACACGTTCATTTCTATGGTTTGTTTTTTTTTTGCTTGCATTTGAACTAAACGAAACGGATAAATAAACATGGCATAATTAAAATCGTGTTGGCTGTGTGTGTTTGGAAACGGTTGAATGGGAATAGTATCGAGAAGAAGGGCAAAAACGCAACTGTCAAAAGAAATATTCCACACAGTGTGAGCGATTGTGTGTGTTGTTGTCTGTGTGGAAATATGACGAAAAATCACGTGGCAATACAAAAAAGTAGCTACCAAATGAGAATAAACACAAATTGTTGAGGTTGTTTTGTTTCCCTTTGAACAACTTATTCAATTTCTATAGCAAAACCACAATTAACTTCATACACTCTTTTTTTGCCAACCCATTTTTTTTTTTCGTTGAACGGCAATTTGAAAGATTTTAGCATAATTTTCCGATATTTTTTTCATTTCAGTTGGAAATTATTTGTAGAAGTTGGCATGGCAACAAATTACTTTTATTGACTTGCAGCGAAAATGTGTGTTCGGTGTCATGGTTGTTGATTTGAAAAATGCGATAACAGAAACAAAAAAATAATGGCAAAGAAAAGGAACAATAAAAAGCATATCATCGAGCACTCACCTGATTGACTGCCGCCAGCTATTTGACGCATTTCTTTTGTGAATCCTTTTGAACCGAACTGACACGATAGATCGTGCAAGGTGCGTGGCTCACCGCGTTCCATTAATCGTTCCAGAAAAAATAGCAACGTCAAATTCCGGGCAGTTTCATATTCCATGGTCTCCATGACGCCGAGCAGCGAATATCAGAATTTGTTTCGACGAAGTGCGAAATTGAATCAATTCAACGAACAAATCGTTTCGTTGTTTATTGCTTATCGTGTGGTCGTTGCTCTCCCGTGGATGATCAATCTTTCTTACTTTGCTTCTTCAATTATATACAGAATATTTGAGTAAATCGGCTCGAAACAACCGAACACAACAATAATTTGATCACTTGATGTCGGTGTAATCTCGTCCCGAAGGATTTCAATCACAATCAATAAGCCACTCGCGTTTGGACCACAAAAAATTACGATGTTAGCACAACCACTATAGAGGAAAAAGAAAAACAATTATTGACTTTGCTTATCCAATCGAAAGATTCTTTCCAGGTTTTTAACAGTTATTTTCGTCTTGTTTTCGGTTTGTATTTCGCTGATGAAAAGAAGAAACGATGTAAACACAGTGACAACCGCACGCAAACTGTTTTGATTGTATGAAATGCCAAGAATGGTACGAGGCTGACAGATACGAGAGTCGGCTCTCCGTTTTGGATGCATATATATACACACACCGAATTGAAATGTGTGGCAAAAACAACAACAACAAAAAACTATACACAATGAAGCATGGTCGGTCGTTTGGTGTCTGTCTTACATACAACGAGGGGAAAAAATCATCGCAGACGATTCGATTTGAAAGACATTCGGAATCGAAATGTACGTCGACAGGAAACAGATGAACTCGTTGCAAGTGATGCTGTGTGTTTGCGACACAGTCCGTCTCTCTCTTTCACACACACGTACACTACACGCAGACACAAACACCATTCAAAACCACACGAACAGGTGAATGCGTTAGAATGTCTGTGGCATAAGCACGACGAGAATGAATCAACAACAAAGTGACAACAACGGCACTGAAACAGAAGACGATCGGATAGTAGCAACAGCAGCAGCAACAAAATGAGCAGATTAAAGTACCGAATGGTGTTTCGTAACGTTATCATTCGTATTGAATCGCAGCGTGAGATTATGAAATGGCCACCGTTTGGTCGATGGTAGTTTTATTTCAAAATTGAATAGCAGTGCGGCATTGGCACATTTGTTCGGGGATGCCCAAATGATCTTAACTGCATTTCACATAATTGGCACTTCTTGATCATCGTCGAGAAATCAAAAACAAATACATGTCGATTTACGCACTTGATCTACTTAATAATAGTGCATTTTGTGTTCCGTGTTTCGATCGAAATACGCATTTGATTGAACAATTTTCGTATTGCAAGTTATCTTTGTTGGTGAATCAAAACCTCGTTCTTTCTCTATCCCCCTAATGTGTTCATTATTGCGATTCTCTTTCGATTGCGTTGCGCCTATTATGTTCAATTCATTTACTCTCTTTTACCACACACACACACAAACACACAAACACACACACACACACACACACACACACACACACACACAGACACACACAGACACATTCGTTTTGTGCGTGCCTATTTTGTGTGCTCAAGCGCTCGTAGTTTATTTCGTCGCAAACGCTCCATTGGATTGGTCTAGCGGAGGCCGATTGCGCACATTGTAAATGCACATCTTCATTTGATTGATACAATTTCTTCTGCGCTGTGTGTCTCGTTTAAGCTGTTCACACATCGCTGTGCAATAAACGAACACAAAAAATGGGTTATCGAACAATATTGTTTTGATTGAATTCGCGCAATGCCGTTCGGTTTGGTTCGATGTGCTGCAGATTTGTTGCTTCTTTGATTTTGATTTTTGCCTGGCTTGTAATTTATTGCTCTTATTCTGCTGAAACAACTACTTAATTATTATTTGCCGAGTTGCTCTTCGTCGCTTCTGTAATAGTTTTCTACAGAAATGTTTTCTATTTTATTCGTTTCTTGTTTATTGATTGAGAAGAAGAAAAAAATGCACACACATACACACACACCGAAATACGTGTTGTGGGCTGATGAAAAAAGCGGTTCAATCCATCGAATTTCAACGAGATTCAAGAAGCAATTGAGTGGATATTCACAGTGTGAGCATGTTCGGGAATTACAAATGAAAAAGAAAAGAAAGCGCAAATATTTGCGCGTGTGGATTTTGTTGGCTGATTTGGGATTTGGCGTTTCTCTCTCTCTCTCTATCTCTCTGTGTGTGTGTAGAAGAAGAAAATGCGTCGTTGTTTTTTCAATGCGGTTGAGATTGCATGTGACAACTGTCATTGCTTTGATGATAGTTAATAAGTCATTTCGCTGCACCTCTCTAATAATGACGAGATTTTTTTTTCTTTCGCTTTGACTGATTTATACGTACACTTGATTCGCTGGCATGTGATAGATAAACACGCACCTCGAACGGTCGACTCAACATTCTTAACGCATAATTTGAATTTTATTCGTTTGAACTGAGAAGCGGAAAAGAAAAATCGTTTCATTGCATTTGCTTTCTATGCGTATGCGTAATAGTGCGAACTCGTTTGATTAAGTGTGTGAAATCAGTAACAAGCAGCCAACAACAGCAGCAGCAGCAACAGCGCAAACGGAGAGGAAACGGTAAATACCAAACTTGAAAAATGTGGTAACGCTCACACTCACGCAATATGCAAGAGACACACATTCGATAGCCATCAACCAGCCAACCAACCGTGCAATTTGTGAAAATGAGACAGAGCCAGCCAAATGGTCAGCGAAAAACGAACAAAAGAGCGAGAATAAAATATGTGAAACCGATTATCATGCGACCAATTTTAAATAATGTATTATGAATGGGTCGTAATGCGAAGGCGATAGAGCGGCGAAAGAAATTCATATTTATTTTCTTCTTCTTTCGTATGAAAATAGATAACAAAGGCAAAGAAAAATCCACGGAAATATTTTTCGCACATATGTATTATAAAGACAACGATGACGACTAGATGAAGAAAAAATAAGACTATCAATTGAGTTATACATATTATCTAAAGGCCATTGATGAAATCAACAATAACAGTATGTGAGAGAGAAGAAACAAAAAATTATATATAGCAACGAGGAGAAGAAACGAAGAAGAAGGGAAAAAAATGGAATGGTATTTCACCATTTGCTTGAACAACACACATGCAACCATCAATGATCACACACGGCAAGGTGTGCGAAATATAGGTATGTATGCGGGGCGGGCGAGTGTGTATGAATCGGTTAGCGGTGCAATCAAGTGGATGTTGATCTAATAAAGCAGCGAAAGAAGAAGAAAAAAAAAGTACAACGTTAGCAAATAGACGGCATTCCAAATCTAATCATCTGTGCCAATAAATAGGATGCGTAATTGTATGTTTTTGCACACGGGCAAGTGCGGCCACTCTCATTGTAGTGGTGCGAATGAAGAAGAAGAAGAAAAATTAGTCAAAATGAATTCTTTGTGTTTTAAATTGTGAAGCAGCAGCAGCGGCCAAAACATGCGATCGTTGCAAAATGCTATTTTATATTCACAAAGTAATTTTTGTTTTGCACCCGTTTACGTTATATATTTTCTTTTTTCGTATGTTTCATTTCACATTTCATTTGTGTGCATCGACGATTTTTGTGTATGCGATTTGGGATATGCGATCGAGAGAGATATTTAAGTGTTGTGCGAATCGCGAAGCAATGAATGAAGAAAAAAACTTGCGCGATGCACATCGAATGCGGCTTCTAAATCCAAGTCAGCTGAGCACTTTCAAACTTCACAATGATCAATACGCAATATACTCTTTTTTTTTATCTATGCATAACAAATAGAACATATTACAATCGGATCGCTTTTTTTGGAATAATTCAACTTTGATCTTTGACGTTTCTCAGAGTAGAGATAGAGAAAACCAAGTTGGCGTGTGTCTGTAAACACTTGGCTGTGATCAATGAAGCGATGTGATTGAGAAATTTTCGCCTAATCATGAACGAATGATATCGTCGAATTCCGAAGCACTTGTTACTTGTTTTACGTAAAAACGATCAAAAACTGCATCGTGTGAATTTATCACCGATTACATTCAATGAAATACCGTAAAAATAATCCGATTACAAAGACCACGTCGATAATTTTGTGTGTTTGGAATCACTGATTCTGATTGAAAACAAGACGAAAAACTGGATGATGGATAAAATAACATCACATATACACACGCACACGTACAGGTTCACGCACACACCACGGCTTAAAATTCTCAAACTGTGAAATTCTTTCGATGATTTTTGAACTTCTCCGAACAATATAAATTTTTTTTCGTTGTTTTTTGTTATAAATGAATCACTGTCCAGCAATTTCGAACAAAAAAACCACTAAAATACCAAAACTCAAAAAAAGCAAAAATTCCGTGGAAACTGATTGTAAATACTAATAACAAAAATGAGTTTTTTTTGCTATCCTCTATTGAAATTTTGAGTTGTTCGCTTAAACATCCGCCATATTGAATAGTTGACAAGCGAATGAAATCGGTATTTCTTCTAATGGAATAATAATAGTAGCACTTAAATAAAACTGAACCGAGTGTATTGTTTTGCGTGCATATGTATGCTCGACGACGGTGGCTGGTGTGTGAGACACAGAGCAGTGAGCGAGTGAGTGAGTAGCGTGTTGAATACAATCGGAACCGATTTAGTTTTAACGATTATGTTGTTTTATGTGCCTCATGATTGAGTCGTTCGCTCTCTCTTGCTCGCTCGCACCCACCAAAATACCCAATGTTTCTGTATCGGTGCGAGCAATACACAGAGCCTCGAGCACATGACACGATCGTTATGACACTTGTGTGTATCGTCGTGTGTGTTGTATTTTTTTCTTCTGCAAGTGTGTTCGTTTTCGTTTTACCTGTTCATTTACCAGCTGTGTGCATTGATTCCATCACGCACGATTCACAATCACTGGATTGATTGTTGTTGTTGTTGTTGTTGTTTTTTCGGTTCCAACTGACAAACGATTTAATCGAGAAATTTTGCTGATTTTGAAACTCAGTTTTTTTGTTTTTAGAAATGTTAGCAAAAGAAGGATTTTCACAAAATTAATTCAATTTATTCAAAATACAACTTATTAAACTAAACCGAACAATTGGTTTGATTATTTTTTCTTCTGATCGGAGCTACCATCTAAACCGGTCCATTTTTCACTCACTGTCCACAACCAATCGCTAACGGACTTATTTTTTGCCTCTTCTGACACTTGATCTTTGGTACAGTTGCTGAAAATAAAAATAAGAAATTCAAATAAAAAAATTCAAATCTAACGATATACCATAGAAATGAAGACGAAATTCGGAGACATGTTCTTTTTTCCAATGAAGGAAAATTGAAAAGAAACATTCTGAGAATAAAGTGTGGAAGGAAATAAATTCAAAGGAAATATATGAGCAAGCTGATCAATATTCACCTATAATACAGTCCCGATTTATTGGCAAGTCTTGGTTCTAATGCTGCCATTATGGTTGTTTGAGCTCCCGACTTGGGCGTCTTTAAAAATGGCCACGTCAATGGCCGGAAAATCATACTATAATCGAAATGATTTGTAATCGATTAACTTCAAACAACAAACGATAATTTGAAAATCATCGAACGTAATGATAACATGACTGAAATAATCAAAATAATGAATAGTGATTTGTACCCTGATAAACTTTTGAAGACTCCCATGTGCCGTGTAATTTCCGTATCGACTAGGCCAGGATTCACAGCGTTTACCGTAACACCAGTGCCGGTCAATTTACGGGCCAATTCCCGCGTGAACATTATATTCGCTAATTTGCTTTGATTATACGCTTCGGCTGAATCATAGCTCTTTTCACTATTTATATCCTCTGCGTTGATTTTCCCCCTTAAATGTGCCGCACTAGACACATTTATTATTCGACTTGGCGCTGATTTCTGAAAAAGAGTAGTGAAAAAGAGAACGATTCAATTGAAAATAGACCGAATAGGATCAACCAACTGATACGAATTTAGTATAAAAATTCATCAAAATTTTCGAAATGGTTTCACATATGTATGTTTTGGATAGCAGCTCAAAATAGTGTAGGTAGTGCATGATCAAACACTCACCGTGATCAAATCAAGAAGCAAATTGGTTAAGAGGAAGTGTCCCATATGATTAACTGAAAAAAACATTTTTTTTTTAAATACGTTCATCCATAATATTGAACAAAATATTGGATTACATTACCTCCTAATTGCATTTCGAAGCCATCCTTCGTCAGAGTGTGCGGACATCGCATCACGCCGGCGTTGTTGATTAAAATATCTAGTCGATTCTCCCGTTCTTTATATCTGTAAATTCGAATCACTTCTTTGAGAAAAAAAAAATCTTTTTCCAACTGACAATTCTTCACAATTCAAACACCAAGCATTTACTAACTCTTTCACAAATTTCCGAATCGAATCCATTGAACTGAGATCGCATTCGATGCAGTGAACGTGCTTGTTTGCTGATTCCAAAATGATATCGTCGCGAATTTGTTCGCATTTCTTCATATCTCTGCATGCCATGTACACACGTGCCTCCCGTTTGGCCAGCTCACGGGCGGTTTCTTTGCCGATTCCGCTTGTTGTACCGGTGATTACGATTCGTTTATCCGTTGCCTTGATGGGATCTTTGAATTTTTCCCCTTGCATTTGGTCCCTAAGAATAGAAAAACAATGTAAAAATCATATGTAATCCGTATAAAATCTGGCCGTATCATTATTCCTCACTTCAGAAAAGCACATAATAACCCAGCCGTTGCAAATGCACTCGTAAAGATCATGGGTCTTGACTTCAAACTATCGAACAGCCCCATTGTTTTTTTTTGAGGTTATCTCTCTGTGTGTGAATTTCAAAGATGTAAAGAAATTAAACGATGTTGTGATGGAAATCGAAACACAAATTGATAGCAGATCCAACTACAGTCGGATTTTGAAGTTGACACAATTTTGTTTGTTAATCGTTATAAATTTATGGTTTTTTTTTTGTTGGTGATTGCGAGCGGTATTCCAATACAAAAATTCCTTCATAAATTCTGTTTGACAGCTGTCATTGCGAACCATTGTGAATGAACCGAACTGGCGAACTGTCAAAACAAGGTTTGACTTCGGTTTTAGCGCTATTTCGCACAAATCATCCAACGTTTGATACATTTTGCGTTGAAAAAATCGGCTCGACGGTGTGTTTTTTTTTATAATTCCAAGACAAATCACTCAGAAAGAGAATATTAATTTCGATCAATGTTAGCCGATTATTTGCGTAGTACAATGCGACAATACTTCAGTGACTACTGAAAATTACTGGTAATTTTCCTGTTTATCGTGAATAATGTTGATGTTTTTTTCTTTGTACAGTGTCTTTTACTTAGATTGATATCTAAAGATTTATTTTTTTTATTTTATAGTGATCTGAAGTTTGGAACAAAATGGCTGAAAATCCGCCGAGAAACAATGCAGCTGGAAATGGTGGAGCAGGAAGCAATCGAAAAACACCGAACAACAATAATTTCTTTCGAATGCGTCATCGTTTTCAAAACAGCCGTGATACAGGACCAAAACAACGAACCGTTTCGCTTTTGATACCACAGTCGTCTTCGTCAAGCGGATCATCCGGTTCTACATCTGGTCCATCGTCAGCATCAGCTTCGTTTGGAATCAATAAAAAGACTGGGCCATACAGTGGTTGGCAGCTTTACTTCCCTGAAGTCGGTATGTTTATTAAACATTGTTTAAGCTAAAATCGTCAGTGCACATTCATTTTGTACTGTGCAATGAATTTTTTCTCTCTCGACAATGCAGTTCTAAGCGACTTATATGGACGAGTTTCTCTATATATGCTCTTAGCCACCCCTACGAAAGTAAACTGGCTCGTTTGAAGAAATGTCAAAACATTTTCAATTTTTTTTATGATCACTAAGAAAATATCGCGCATCATTAGTTTAAACGGGAACATAACCTAAATGAAACAGCTAACTTTTGAAGGGACGCCCACATAAATCGGTTCGTCAATAAGAGGTCGTTGGAATCGTGGGTTTTGCAAAAAAACAACATCATCAACATTTGTTTTTATTCCTTCATTTCCATTGTTGTATTTCCTTCCACAGACTACAAAGATGATTTGCCAATACTCCGAAAGATCAGAGCATTTGAGCAGCACATCAAAAGTCAGCCGCTATTCTACAAGTTAAATGACATTCGAAACAATCTCTGGTTCCCGTTGCCATTGCAACGCCTCCAAAATGACGAGGAATTTTGTCGGAATTTCCCGAATTTCATATTAGATTTGAATTCATCGGTAATGGAAACGTTGATGTGTGCCGGTTTGGCCGCCCATCAGAGAATTCAAACGGATTTACCGGAAATTTCATCGAGTCAATTGACCGGCAAGGAAAATATAACAAAATTGTCATTGCTACCGATCCGAGCACGTGTTCAAGGTCACACACCAATCGTGAATCTCAGCGCGCTGAAGCAAGACATTTATAATTGTTTGATTTCTGTACGCGGAACGGTAGTGCGAGTGAATCCACCAGCACTGAAGAGCTCATGGATCGCATATAGATGCTCCAAATGCAGAAGTGAGCAGGCCATTCGACAAAGTGATGTGGGTGGATGCAACACGCCAACATGTTGCAAAGCTAGCGGCTGTAATGCTCGCAGTAATTTTGCGATGCTACAAACGTCACCGTACACACGAACCGAGCCGTATCAAACGATTCGCCTTCAAGAATCAGTGCAATCGGTTAAAGGTCAAATTCCAAAGACAATCGAAGTTGATTTACACTATGATTTGGTTGACTCGGTATGTCCAGGAGACGATATAACCGTTACAGGTATTATGCGAGTTCGCTCCAGTGAAAAAACTGGCTACAATCGAGCTAAAGCGGGAACCGAAGCTGGAATTCACAAATACTACATTTATGGCATTACGATCGTGAGCAACAAGAACACAATTACCGTTCGAAATTTGGACTTTAGCGAAAGAGACTTGGATATGATCCGTAGGATTGGCAGTCAAAGACATATATTTAAAATTCTGGTTCATTCACTGTGTCCTCGTATCTTTGGCCATGAAATGGTAAAAGCTGGCTTGATTTTGTCACTCTTTGGTGCATCTGGGAATGGTGGCAAATCAGAGATAACACCAGGACATGGCAAACGATCGGAAATTCACGTTCTCGTCGTGGGCGATCCTGGTCTTGGGAAATCACTTTTGATTCAGTCTTGTTCGAATGTGTCGCCGCGGGGAATTTTCGTGTGTGGAAATAGGTAAATAGTTGATTTTTTCGCTACATCAATGATTCGTCAGTTGGTCATTGGTATGAATATCTTAATGAATAGTTAAATTTCTGAATTTTTTTTGCATATTTCAGCGCATCGAATGCTGGTTTGACTGTATCGATTCGCCATGACAAAGGGTCCGATGGAAGTCTCGAAGCGGGTGCTCTTGTATTAGCCGATCAAGGTGTCTGTTGCATCGATGAGTTCGATAAAATGTCATCGAATTACCAGGTAAATAAATGATGCTACCGTTACATTGAGTAACGAATCATCCGAAATTCATGCCATTTCACCTCCGTTTCAGTCGCTATTGCAAGTCATGGAGCAACAGTCAGTGAGCGTTGCCAAAGCTGGTGTTTTGTGTGCCCTACCTGCTCGAACATCAATCTTAGCTGCAGCAAACCCGTCAGCCGGTCACTATGATAAATCGAAAACCGTGTCCGAGAATCTGAAAATTTGGCCAACATTGTTATCCCGTTTCGATTTGGTATTCATATTATTGGATCGAGCCGATGCTTATCTCGACGACTTGCTAACAAATCACATCCAGACATTGAAACAGAATCAAAATAAACCACTGAACTATCGATCGAATCTAACACAAATGCCATCGTTCTCCATGGCCAATGCCAATTTAACACCAGCTGAGAGCGATGCGCCGCTGTACGAACGATTGAAAATGACAGATCAAACAGATTTCCAACCATTGCCATCCGAAATGATTCGAAAGTATATTTTGTACGCTCGAAAATTCTGCTTTCCAACCATCAGTGCTGAGGCAAACGAGGAGCTCAAAAAATTCTACACGGAAATGCGAACAACTCGACGAGGAATCGATTCGGTGCCAGTAACAACACGTCAGCTTGAAGCGCTCATTCGATTGACACAGGCCCGAGCACGGCTCGAACTTGCCCCTGAAGCAACCATCGATCATGCAAGAGATGTGTTGGCCATTCTACGATACACCATGATCGACGTTCTGAGTACTGAACGAGACACACTGGAAATGAAACGAAACATCAACGGATCGGGAATGAGCCATTCCACCAAAGTGAAGCGATTCTTGCAATTATTGCAAGGCCAGTGCAAAAGTATCTTCACTGTGCCGGAACTGAAAGAGCTAGCTGCGTCGCTAGGCTTCGAAATGTTCTTCAATCAAATTCTTGACACGCTCAATGTTCAAGGATTCTTGATTAAACGCGGAAGGGACATTTACAAATTCAACACATAGCCGAGTTGATGAATCAGTTCGTCTTTCTATCGTAATCATATTGATACGAATTTATAGAAAATTGATAACAACATTTGTCATAAGATAAAGTAAACTCGTTGTATTTAACATACATAAAAAATGGAATCAAAACGAAAATTAATTTAAAAAAAATTAAGACATTGAACATCTGTTCAACATGTACATTAGTATAGAAGAGCTAAATAAAAATTTGGAACAAAATCAGTTGGTTTCATTGTAGGTAGTTTATTTCGGGGTATTCAACTTTTTGTATGGCCTCTTTCAAGCACATATCCAGTGGGAGATTCCATTGGGCCAAAGTTTTCATCAATGGATCTCGAAAATGGGAATCGCTTCGAATCTATTAAAATACAGTAAAAATATTATTGTCAATCTAGAGATTCAGTAAATGCACAGTATTTCTATTGTACGTACAGTGTTAGTAATCAATTGAACTTGTGGTGTGTTTGGATGTGTTGTTACAGCTGTGCCCCATTGTCCACGACCGCCCGAATTGATACCGCGATAAATCAAAGTACTTTTCACCTCTGCATTATGTTCACGAACGATGTTTAAGTCAAAATCTACACTGTCATATTTCACCCGAAATGTGGCATCTCCTTTTTTATTGTCCTCCAGATTGTAGTGTACATCGTAAAAAACTGTTACGCCGCACAATTTAAACTCCGCTTCCATCCAACTCTGCAAACGAAATATCAATTTTGACACTTTAGACACAATGAACAGTGATGTCAATTACCTGTTTATTATTAATATAATCATGATATGTTGGCTTTGGAATGATTGCGCTGTCAATCGATGCCAAAAATCCTGACCGAAATTCAACTTTACCAATCGCGGTCTGACCATAACGTGTGGTGCTATCGGAAGATTATCTCATTAAATCATTTTCAAGACACCAAACGAAAACAAGACAAATTACCAAATAAAATCTTACTTGATTGTTGATTCGCAATCGTCGACGGGAAAGTTTTTATCAATAAATTTTCTATTATTATCCATGCAAGCAACCATTTGTTCCACCACTTTGTCTACGTAATTATTCGAATCGACCACTTTGTATATTTTTCCCAAAGACCCCAAAAGTTGTAAATATATTGAAAAACAATATTACTCAAATAGAATGCATCGTATGTTATTTCGATAGAAACGCCATCCACTGAAATAACAACATCAATATTGCAATAAAAGTTTGATAAAAACTTACGCCTTGCTCCAACAAATGGAATTATGAACAATGGAAGTAAGATGTGCGCACAATTCACTATTTTACAATACATTTTCGAATGTGACCGCCAGCAAATCTGACTCTCAAATGATAGCTATATATCTGGTGAGTTCAGAAATAAATACGACGGTGAATGCCTTTTTGATGCCTGATAATGATATAGTGAAAAAATGGGTAGGTATGGGACAGTGATTTGATAGCGATAAAGTCACTTTGTTTGGAACAAATATATAGATATGACATCAGTCAGATAAAATGGATTCGAATAAATCGGACAGTTCGAAAAGAAATTCGGTTTTGAGCTAGGCTAGCGCCGAAACTAAGTATCAACACTTGACATTTTTGCGACGATATACAATTGCATGCAATATATTTTGCATTGTCCATTTATTGTGCTCTCGTACGACAATCATTTTGATAAACATTTGTCCGTTGATCATCCAAAATTGTCATAAGATATTTGAAGTAATTACAGCGAATTTTACATACGTAAAAAGAACTTGATGTGAAAGAAAAATTAATCAAAAAATTAAGACATTGAATATCTGTTCAACATGTATATTTTAAACAATTTGTTTCATTCTAGATAGTTCATTTCGGGATATTCAACCTTTTTTATGGCCTCTTTCAAGCACATATCCAGTGGGAGATTCCATTGGGCCAAAGTTTTCATCAATGGATCTCGGAACTGGTAATTGCTTCGAATCTATTAAAATACAGTAAAAATATTATTGTCAATCTAGAGATTCAGTAAATGCACAGTATTTCTATTGTACGTAAAGTGTTAGTAATCAATTGAACTTGTGGTGTGTTTGGATGTGTTGTTACAGCTGTGCCCCATAGTCCACGACCGCCCGAATTGATACCGCGATAAATCAAAGTACTTTTCACCTCTGCATTATGTTCACGAACGATGTTTAAGTCAAAATCTACACTGTCATATTTCACCCGAAATGTGGCATCTCCTTTTTTATTGTCCTCCAGATCGTAGTGTACATCGTAAAAAACTATTACGCTGCACAATTTAAACTCCGCTTCCATCCAACTCTGCCAACGAAATATCAATTTTGACACTTTAGACACAATGAACAGTGATGCCACTTACCTGTTTATTGTCACAATAATCATGATCAAAACATCATATCATGATTATTAAATCTCATTAAATCATTTTCAAGACACCAAACAAAAACAAGACAAATTACCAAATAAAAACTTACTTGATTGTTGATTCGCAATCGTTGACGGGAAAGTTTTTATCAATAAATTTTCTATTATTATCTATGCAAGCAACCATTTGTTCCACCACTTTGTCTACGTAATTATTCGAACCGACCACTTCGTATTTTTTTCCGAAATGTCTCAAATGTTGCAAATATGAAAAATAGAATTATTTAATTAGCGTTCGCACGAAGACATCGTCTGTTATTTCGATAAACACGATATTCACTGAAATGACAGCATTAATATAACAATAGAAGTTTGATGAAAACTTATGCCTTGCTGCAGCAAATGGAATTATGAACAAAGCAACGAAGATGTGCGCACAATTTAGTACATTACAGCACATTTTGGAGTGTGACATCCAGCGAATCTGACTCTCAAATGATAGCCATTCAACTGGCGAGTTCATCAACAAATACGATGATGACTACCCTCTTGATGCAAGATAACGATAAAGTTTTAGTGAAACAGAAGGGGTCATAAAGAATGAAACAATGTATGGGGCAGTGATTTGATAGTTTTTGCACTTTTGTGCAATTGACGTCAAAAGACCACGTCTTATCTTAAAATAATTTAATCAGTTCGAAAAGTGATTTGTTTTTGAGCTGACACCGAACCTAAATATCAACACTTGAAATTTTTGCGTGGAATTTATTTTGCAATGTCCATTTGTTGTACGCTCACACAACAATCGATTGATTCTTGCCATCAATTTTTATCGATGTCCGTTGCTTCTTCGAATATTTGAATTTCATAAAAATGAAATCGCCACGGTTTGTTTTTCCTCTGTTGATGACAAAATGTCGTTGTGTGCTATGACAAACCAATGATCCAAACCTACATGCAAAACAGCTTCATCGTGCTCGGTATAAAATTTCTCACAGCATTCGATGTTCAGTACGTGCACGTGTAAGCTATAATGACAGTTTGCCACCATAACGTTTTTGTTGTTGTGGTCCGTTATTTTTGCGACGCTCATACGATCCATGCACCCAAATTGCTCGATGATTATGTTTTTTTTTTGCTTAGTTTAGTATGAATCGTTTGAGCACACGCACTCTCACCAACCATTTTATTCTTTGAAACCCACGTTTATCTTCATATTGTTTTTACTAAACCATTTTTTTAGTCATTGTTTTTTTTTTTATAATAATCATTTTCATTTATGTTTTTAATTTTTAAAAAATTGAGTGAAACCAAATAATACAGAAAAATATGCATCCAGGTAAATGGAGATGTTGAATTAAAGCAATACAAAATGAAGGTGATGACGATGTTGATTTTATTTTTTGCTTTCGTTGTGACACCGCACAGAAAATAGCGTTGTAAAGGATTGCAGTTCGTCCAGTAGTGATTATGTGGAATGTAAATCAGAATTTGAGCATAGCAAAGATGTCGATGATGGATATTCTAAATCCGAAGAAAGTAGCTCGTACCACAGTGCAAGCGATGTATCAGTCGATGAAAAAAGTACCGTAAGCAACACAAGCGGCTTAGCCAGTGCTACTTCATCCAATCAACTGTCGATAAATGAGTCGAATTCAGAGGTGGTGCAAAAGATTTTAGTCAGTCGTAAAGTCAACGATGCCATTTTTAAACCAGGTATTTCAATTGTTTTGCATGAAATAAAATCATTTTCTTTCCGTATTGCGGATAAAAATGAATTTTAATCAGAACGAAATGTAAAGATTAAAAATAACTGATTTAAATGCAGATTATCGATTTTCGGTGAAACACCATGGTCAACCGAAATATTGGCATGAAAAGGGTCTGGCAGACATCGATCTTCTAAAGGAACACACCAAAGAAAATGAGTATGTTTGAGTAGTATTGTAAAAGCAACCAAATATAAAATCGTTTTTTTTTTATTAAGATTTGATACAGATGAAGCTGTGGATGTAGTCAGCAAATGGATAACAGCACGTAGTAAGCTATATATTCGCGTGTCTTTGGAAAAAAATGCCAATGAAAATGATGATCCCATGATTAGAATTCACATTCGCAATGACCGTTTGAAGCATCCCGTTGTTTTGCTGCATTTACTGTGGATTAATTTGTACGAAAACCAAATTGTCACAATGGACAGTTTTTCGGGACACACACAAGCGACCATTCCATATCGTAAGTGAAAATTTCGGTTTATCATGCATCACAAAATGTGGTTGGAAATGAATTTGGATTTTGGTTTTGCAGTCGAATCGCTGGATTTTAATGTACCGGTAAAAAAATTTGATTTGAGCAAGGACTACAAATTGGTCATTTACTATGGCTCATTGGCGCTGTTGTTCAGCAAAGAATTTATTCTGAAAGTAAGTGTTTGTTTTTATTTGATTGCTTGATGTTTGTTTCTAAAAAATGAAGAAAAAAATTGAATCATTATTTTTATTTTTCGAATTTAACAGATTACAACACGTCCAATAAGGTAAGTCAACCCGATGACAAAAACTGGGCAATATTGTGCTCCAATAGAAAAATATAATAACCACTTCAATTGATAATTCATTTGTGGCAGAAAAAAAAATTGAATTGAATGACAATTTTACCTGTTAAAGCAAAGAAAACCCATGAAAATTCTTCATTTTCTTCAGCACCATGTATATGGAGAAACTCGACCATTACTTCCCAGAGCCGTCGGTGCGACAGTTGGATCGTCACCATTACAAAGTACCCAACGATGCGGACGTTACCCATGAAGTGGAACTTCTCAAAAAGAAAATTGAGTAGGTTGCAATAGAAATACGACGATTTAAAAGGCACAAATATCAGAAGCCGACGTCGAATGTTCCATTTATCCACAACGATTGCTAAATTATTGCTTCTATGTTTCTTCCAAAAAAAGTTTATATGAAAAATCGGACGCGTCCGATCGATTGAATGACACCAACTACTATTCGATGTGTAAATTGTTGCTCCAAATGGAAGACGAAACCGATTCGAAGCGTTCGCTGCGTCATGACCAGCATAATCAAAAAGTGAAGCACGAATTTGGCAAACGTTATTCATTGCACATTGTAAATTAAATTTGAAATTCTCTTATGTGTTTGGTATTTTATGCTAAAAATCAATAATTTACAATAAAAACGCGTATTTTAGAATAACAAGCGTCTGGAAGCCGCTCTCAATGAGTATACGCGCATTTGGATAACGCCGATGTCAATTCGAACGGCTGAAATATCGCGGAACAAAACGAAATGTAACGGACAACAAGGGCCAGTTGGTCGAAGTAAGAAAGAGCGAATCTATGGTTCGGTAGTTGAAATCAAAGGAAATAAAGTGCATTTCGAGTTGAATGAGACTCTGCACCGATTGGCTGCCCGGACTCATGTTGAACCAGCTGATGAAGAATATTTTATACGGTTTATGAGCGATCGCACCACAGCCACTCTTGAACATCGTGCCCTTGAATACGTCAACAATCAAGGCATTGCACACTTCTTTTTTCCAAATATCACAACGCGTATCAATTGGCCGGTAAACAAAACTCATCCAAGTTCATTCGCCGACAAACCGTAAGCTATCTCTGACTCTCCACTGCATTCGTTGGTTTCAATTTAAGTGTGAATATTTCAAGGATTGCATGGGATTCCAATGATATCAATGACGAACAAAAATTGGCGGTCAAAAATATTCTGCGGCAAACATCTTATCCGTTTCCATATCTGTTGTTCGGTCCACCGGGAACGGGTAAAACTAAGACGCTTATCGAAACCGTTTTGCAAATCATTCGCAACAACAATCCAGATGAATACATTCTGGTTTGTGCCACATCAAATTCAGCGTGTAACGAAGTTGCAAAACGTCTTTTGCAAAGTAACGGTGGTAAAGATAAAGTCTTTCGCATCTTTTCAAAAAGTGTCGCATTCAAAATGGACGATATACCGACCGACGTGTTGGCCGCGTCGAATCTCAAAACAGGCGAACACTATTATCCATCGTTACAATATCTTTATCAATGCAAAGTAAGTGACTTCAGTTTTGAGCGAAGCATTTTCCATTATGGTGGAAGAGTGTGACAACGTAATTTTCCTTTCAGGTTATAGTTTGCACTCTAACCACCGCCGGTCGACTATCTCAGGGCAAAATCAATCCAAAGCATTTCTCGCACATTTTCATTGACGAAGCGGGCAGTGCGACTGAAAGTCAAACTATGATCGCTATCGCTGGTACGGTTTCTTTTTTCAGAGTTAAATTTAGAACCAAAGCTGAAAATTTCCACATTTCAATGAATTTCACTTTCAATGCGGCCAATTGATTCAATTTTTGTTTTTAAAAAACTTAACAAATTGTGAAATTCTATCAATTTTTCCTAGGATTGTGTTCAACTAAAAATGAATTACATGCAAATTTGATCTTTGCCGGGGATCCAAAACAACTTGGCCCACTGATTAAGTCGCAGCAAGCCGTGAAAATGGGCTACGGAATTTCAATGCTGGAACGCTTAATCACCACCAATTCATTTTATATGAGAGACAAACGAACCAACGAATTCAATTCAAATTATGTCGTTCAATTGATCTGCAACTATCGTTCTCATCCATCAATTTTGCATCCGTCGAACAAACTTTACTACGACAACGCTCTACAAGCGTGTGCACCGAAAAGTAAACCAAAATTGTTGTTATTTTACATTTATTTCGTCCAAAGCATTGAGTGTTATCGTTTATTTTTATCAGGCAACACCGACTGGTTTATCGACACAACACTGCTGAAGCAGCCACAATTTCCCGTGATATTCCGTTCGGTGAAGGGTACCACAGTCAAAGATGTTTCTAACCCGAGGTAGAAGATAATTTGCTTTGCATAGTATCTTTTTCTCTTCATTTCTTCGTTTCTAATTTGCGTTTTCTCGTTCCTGTTTGAATAAAGTCCTTACAATCAATTAGAGGTGCAAACAACAATGGAATACCTTCGTCGTATTTTCAAAATGCCCCATCGTGAAATCGCACAGAGCGACGTTGGAATCATATCACCGTATCGTCGGCAATGCGAAGAATTAATGGAAAAGTGCAAAACGCTCGGATATGATGGTATACAAATCGGCTCGGTGGAAGTGTTCCAAGGTAAATTATCTTCATTAATTATTTTATGATTTTTTTAAATTTACTTATATTTTTCTTATTTCATCCTTTTTCTGAAGGCCAAGAAAAGCCAATCATCATTGTATCAACGGTGCGTTCGCAAATGAACAATCTCGGTTTTTTGGATAGCAAAAAGGTACGAATTGCATTTTTTCTTTAAAATCAAATAAACATTGGAAATATTTTGTTCGAATTAAAATTGCATTCAATTGTTCATTATTTTAAACGGTAAATGTTTGTATTTTGAATTCATTTGCAGCGGTTAAATGTTTTGATGACTCGTGCAAAATGCTTGTTGATAGTTATCGGCGATGCAGACACTTTGGCTAAGGATGAAGACTGGCTCTACCTCATTAATTTTTGCCGAACAAACAACTCATTGATCGAGTAAATTTTTCTACCGCTGAAAAAGCATTTTAATTATCAAACAATTTCCCATGAAACCATTTAAATCTGTTGTGTCAAAAGCACGTTTGTTTATATCTCTGTTTGATGCATGCAGTCCGTCAATTCAAAATGTTTCGACTGATTTACACAAGATACTTGATTTTAACTGTTTAAAAAAAAATCGCATCATTTCGTGATGAATTAAACGTGTGCTATTTTTACAAAAAAAAAAAACAAACAATTTCTTCCATTCCTCCGAAAAAAAAGAACAAATGCATGTCCATTTCCAAATTTACATTTTATTTGCAATGAAGCAAACTAGTAAACTTACATAGCTAAACACAAAATGAAGCAATGATTTGTACAATCAAATTGATGAAAAAAAAACACTCAATTTTTAAAACACATTAACAATAATTGGGCTCGAACAAACACTTGGGAATTTGTTGGTGTTGTTGTTATAAAATATGTTAGCGAACAGGATGACTAGGATAAAGTTCATTTTGAGATTTTCTTCACCACATAAAGCGACTTATCTCCCTCAGTTTAATTCAATTCAGTCGAGACCGAAATCAGAAAATGAAAGAAAGACACAGGAATTTATTCAGGAAATATCTGCTCAAACTGTCCAATGTAAATGAACTTGATTGAAATCAAATCCTAACATATGCAAAATAATTGTTGAACATACAAAATGCATGCAAAAGTGGTGATATTTCAGTATGAATTTCTGTGTCTTCTCCTATGATGTGTATTTTTTTTTTTTCCTGAGAATGTCATTGTTTTTTTTTTTCTTGTTATTTGCATAGAAAAATATGCCAAAAAGCAATAACAATTCTTTGCGTTATCTGCGTTGATCCAAGACTTGAATTGAGTTAAAATGAGCTAAATTTGAAATGAGTTTGCATTGATTTCGCTCGTCGAATCTCACTTTATGTACAAATGTTTCAGTACATAGGAAATTGACGAAGAAGGAAAGAGTCGCTTTATTTATCATCCCATCCGAGACTGCCAAAGTTATTATTTTCATAGCTGCCACTGTCGAAAGCACCATCATACACACCACCAAAATCACCGACACTGCCAAAATCACCGCCCGACCATCCACCTGAAACGAAATACGAAATCATTTGAAAACCTAATCGCAATGAATTGAAATGGGTGGAAGGAAGAAAAATCTTGAAACAAGAAGAAGGAAAATGATTCGCACGAGTTAGATCCAAACCTCCGAATTCGAATTGATTTCCGGGAAAACCGCCGCTCCATCCGTCATCGTGCCCATGGTGGTCGTGGTGGTCATGATGGTCATGATGGTCATGTCCATGGTCAATGTGCTTGATATGCTTATAAATTGTGTGCGTATGATGATGGTGTTTTACGTGATATGGAACGTGAATGATAATGTGCTTATGATGTGCTCCGCCGGCTGCACAAAACGACCCCAACATCGTTGTGAGCACAAGCAACGCTATTATCTGCAACAAGAAATGTGAAGCAAAAACACAGATTAACCTTACATTAGACGCGATCATTGATAAAGAGAAACACAGTGCACAATCATTAAGTTCAAGTGGCTTAAATATGGGAAAGTGTTGAGGCGATGCGCCGATAGCATATCACGATGTTTCACCACATCGTCCATCAAATCACTTTTTTTTTTCTCTTGCTATTTACCACATCAATTTATAAACTTTAATCTTCAATGGACGACGTCACTGCTATGTTCGTTGTATTTTTCACATCATATCGCTCTATCGATCAATGTCTTCTATGTTGACTATATTCATAATCATGACACGAAACAAACATTGCAAATTTATAGCTGAATATGCTCTGCATGTAATTATACGTTGCATTTTGATATGCAATCGGCAGTAACCAGATTAAATGAAGAAAAAATAATAATCGCAAGCAACTTCTCGAAAACAAGAGAAGTGATTTTTTTTCTCGAACAAAAACATATAACACAATTTAAAAGTATGTAACTCGAACATATATATTCGAATGAGAGAAATGAAGAAAGGAAAAACAAACACAATTTTTGTGGTACATGCACGAAATTTTCGATTGTACTCCATAGCATTGGTATTTGATTGTTGTGAAATATCGAACAAAAAAAAAATTAAAGCATCCAAAAGAAATTGTAATATCAATTATCCGTTACTTGTCATTTCAATTCCAGTTATGTGAAATGTTCAAGTGAACGAAGAAAACAAAATACACAACAGAACGAGATGCATAACAAATTTAATTGTATTTATTACGTATGCTGTCGCCGTATTTTTTTTTTTATCTTTATTCGTCTGCCATTCCATATGAGATGCGATTTCGATACACTTTTCGGCGATTGTGCAATAATGCGTTTTGCTTTGATTCCAATCAATTGAGTAAGAAAACGAAGAGAAGAACTCCTTCGCAATTGATGAGCCGAACTTTGTGAGATACATTTTTTCGGGATTCGCATTATAAATCAATTACGGCTACAGCGACATGTGACGTAATGCAAAATTGCATAATGCCATACGCGATTTGGATCACTTTTTGGACAATTTTACTGTCACTTTTTATTGACGCAATTACTTTTTGTACACCGATTTTTGATGACCCTATTTAAGGTGCGATGGCATTTTCATTGTGGCAGGAATGAAAGTAGGTAACATTCGTTAATATGAATTTAATGTTATGACAGAGCGACTGATAAAGTTGAGAAAAGGTAAATTTTTTGTACATATATAATGCTTCTCACACGAATATCGTCGCTAATTGAAATATTAATTTTTTCCAGTGTAGTTTTCAACAACAAAGTCATCCAATTGGATTTTCATGCCTCAATTTTTTATGATTAGCTTATTGTCTCGATTTTGTTGGAAAAAGCAAATTCGATTTTTTCAAACTTGACTTTTGGCTTTGATTTTCAGACGATTTTTTTTTATTAGATTCGATTTTTCGGCTTAATTTTGCATTTTTCTCTATGACAATAATTTGATGCATAAATACAATAATTTAGGGTGGTTAAAATAATCTCTTTTTCCGTAACTAAAACGAATAAATGATACAATTCGTTGACATTTCCGACTCATTTTCTTTGGAAATATCCAATAAAGGCCAAAAATAAAACAATTGAAAATATCAACTATCTAATTCTTTGACATAGAATAAAAATCACAAACAAGTTGAGAATAAAATATTGAATAATTTTCTGTCACCAAGTTGCATCGAACGATGCATCGTTCCGTATGAAAAACAGTTAAGTACTTACAGTGGAAGAAAAAATGGAGAAAATGGAGCAAAACTATGTATAAAAATGTGCAACATTCGCACACATTTTGCGCCTTGTGAATCCATTTTTCAAATATCTGTTTCCATTTTAATTGCTTTATTAATGATTATATTGTCGATTTTATTATGTATTATATTTGTTTCATCTGCTTCTACAGTGCGAAATACTTGTGTGTACAATGAGTAGTGCTCAATTGAAGTGCTTTTTTCTCTCTATCTCGCGGCGCACCGGTAAATTAGTTTTTTTTTTTTGTTGCGTCTATTGTTATTTGATTTGCAACTTAATTAGATTTGAACGAAACGGCAGTTTTTCTCATTTGAGCGCTGCAGCTGCTCTCAAGAGTTCATCCAATTTTTCTCATTCACACATTGAATGAAGTGTGGCGGTAATTACCGGTATATAAGAAATTTTTTTAATTTAAATTTTAGCATAAACAAACGCCTTCCATTTGTCGGATAATGTATTTTGCATGCGAGAGATGCATTGAGTATGGGGCGCTCTAATGAATGCAATATAATCTTTCAGATTAGTTTTGTGAAATTGACGATAAACATGAAGTCTGATTCCTCAATCGTCGCAAGAGGAAAAAAACATCAACTCAAGGTGATGAAAGGTAGTTTAGGGTAAATTGAATGAATTTCACTGAAGCAAAACCAACAATTTGATTGACACGCACACATTCTTGGTAAAGGATCCATCCGAAATACTAGATCAAGTATGAAACATCTGGTTAATTGATCCGTTCGAAAATCGATAGGATTGGCAGCTGACTTGATAATCGGGTTAGGAAATGTAACAAAAATGTATAGGCATCACGTCAATAATTTATTTTTCATAGATGCCGTATGGAGACATTTTTCAATGAAGAAAAAAAATCTTGAAAGACTAGATGTCCACAGAAGTCGATAGGAAATATTTTTGGCGGTCCACTTTATCACAAAATCAGCACTTTCAAACACAATTCGTTGCGGTATTCTCCATTTTAGAGGTCCAAATGAAATTGCAGACTGTGTTTTTTTGTTCTTCAAATAAAACTTACCACAAATTGTCGAACCATTGTAAATGTTGAAAATATTCTGGTTAACTTTGTATGACACTATGTTAAATAAATCCTTTTGCAGGAGTTTTAAAATCTCAAATCGCAAACAAAATCGTTATTTTTCGCGCTACGCACTGAACTGTTCAACTAAATTTGTTTATATTATCCCGTTGCACCGTGTGTTAACCGTCCAAACACTGTTTCATATCTGGTGACCGGCCAATTTTGAATTTTCTTTTATACCGTTTTTCATGCTGCTACTCAAATCGTTTTGTATTAAATAACTTCTTCGTGTACTCATGCCTCGTGTATACTACGCGGCCAAATTATATACATAGAAAGCAGCAGGCAATGGGAAGAAGAGAGCGAACGAACGAACGAACGAAAAAAGAATGTGAGTGCTTTTTTTTCTTTCTTCATTCATTATGTTTCAGTGAGGCTGTTACTTTTATTTGTATCAGAATTATCGTTTAAACATTACTTTTATTCACCTATTACGACTGCATTGAATGCGTGATTATGTTTCTCTGGCGCTATCACCACAGTCAATGGGTGTTGTTGTTTTTGTTTTTTTTTTTGTTCATTTCTTACTGCTATCGGGCGCAAAGAAGCCTACACAATCACCCGAAAAGATAATTGAAATACTATTAAAATGTGAATGAATATCTGTTGTGTTTTTTTCTTCTTCTTTTTTGGATTTTATTGTAATGCAATCTCCCAATATTAAAAGTATTGTTCAGAAGATTTGTTGTGGTAACCTGCCGAAATAGCAAATCCAACTACGTATACGGGAAGTTCAAGTTGTGCCAATTTCAAGATGCGGTTTCGATCGGAAAGTTGTTTTTCGTTTTTTGCTCGAAAACGTTTGCGGTCGAACCGTTCAATTCAAGTACAATATGAGCAAATTGCTAGTGCAATCCATGACATTTCACGTTGTTCATCCAATTTGTGGTGAGTCCTATCACATCGAAAAAGGGAGAGAAGAAAAGGAAAGCAGCCAGCAATTCGTGTCCAAATCCGCGGGCCATATAATGTGCAGTGCACTTATGCAATTATCAGACAGTGCAGCGTATTCTACAGCAATTGATTAGAAAATACGTAACAATCGGTTGGCTTTTCATCATTTACCTTTCCTGCGAAATTAATGATTCGATCAGGTCATTGACGATCGTCGCAAATGCGATCCATCACCATCTTTTTTTCCATTTTCTCTCTCTCTCTCTCTCTCTCTCTCTCTCTCTCTCTCTATCACTTTGGTGATCTCTCACATTAGTTCCTTTCGAATTTTCACCAAACGAAAATTAGTCACAAAATATGCGTTGGGTTTTTGTTTCTCTCTCTCTCTCGCAATCCGTATAAGTGAGTTCATCGAAAGCGATATGACTTCAATTACGAATTTAATTTTCTTTTCCGCATTTTATCTCCCATTCGGATGTCGCGGGGCTAAATTACAAAATATCGCATTTCATTTGTTGTTGTTGTTGCTGGTTGTGTGTGACAAACTGTCATTGCACTATTTTGTTTTTGTTATTTTATTCATATTTTTTCGCTCTTCGTTTGATAGACCAAAGTCATTTCTTATACAATCATCATTTGATAGCGAACATTTTGTGCCGTTTGAATAACGGCCACCAGTACAGTTTCGCTCGGTGACTCGAACTTATTTTTTTGTTTTGTTTTGCTGTTCACTTGGCTAATTAAGTTTTATTTTATTATTACTCAATCGGGAAGAATGCGGATTGAAGCATAAACGTTAAAGGAAAAAAAAATTTGCTTCTATATAGCGTATTGTATTTTATTTCATCATTTCGTCTCTTGTTATTGCGCGGGAGAGCAAACACATGAAATAATTATAATAAAGAGTTTTTTCTTGCTTTCATGCGTTTCGTATCGCAACATATTAAATAAGTTATATTACGGTGTGCATTTGTGGTGGTTTTTTTTTCTTTCTTCGCGATCCGTAATGTAAATTTTGTAGTAAATTTTGCACGTCTGGATGGAAAATCTATACATGCTAGCGAACCGAAGAGATGGAAAGAAAAAGATTTATTGCGGCGCTATAAATGAGGTCTTTTGCATATTTCAAGACAAATGAATTGCGCTAAGATTAATGTGAATTGTTTTCGATTGATGCAAATGCGAACATATTAGTTGATTGAAGGGAGATGCAACGATGCACTTGCATGGATCTAATTGATTTCTTTATTTACTGTTCATTGGGCTTTTTTTTTTTTTAATTTTTCAGTACTCAGCTTTATTAGGTTTTTTTGGCAATGAAAAAACGTCGATATGCCAAAATTTGCGGCCTTGATTGCCGTTTCATCAGAAGATTTTCTCGAATATGTCATTTTGTTTTCAACTAACTAAGATTCGCCATTTTTATTTAAATGTTTGTTACTTTCGTTTATATGTGTATCATTTGAAGTCGTGCGTAAAAGATTACATAGGAAATAATGGATTCGTTGCCTATTTTCTGCGTGTGTGTGTGTGCTTTGTTTTTCTTCTTCATTTGTTGTTTTGACGCTAAAAATCGGAAAAGATCATTGTTTTCGCATCAGCCCATCCATGGTGGCCCGCATCACAAGAGAGCAACACCCATTCGCGCGAAACATTTTCCGATAATATTCCATTTTTCCCTCCAAATAAACAAATATTGCATCCAAAAACAATGGCTGTAGGTTACTTTGCACAGAAAAGCAGAACAAATATGTAATAAATGACGATTTGAATAAATTAAGCTTCTGTTTGAGTTGTCTGCGATCTTACGATGAAAAACGAAAGTGTATCTCTTTTTATACCTTAGAAACCAACACAGTGAATAGAAAGTCAAAGAAGCTTGTCGAAGCTCCAGATTATGTACGGAACTGAATCGCTAAATACAAAACCAAACAGAAAGAAGAAGAAGAAGACGAAACAAAATCAAACCAAACACATTCCCAGGTGAATAATCAAGTAATCATGTCAATAAGTGACTTGTCGAACATCGGAAGTTTTTGGTTGAACGATTTTTTTGTGCGCTTTCTGGACATGATCGATGTCGCTTAAGTTTGCCTCCGTCAAAAAGACCGGGAAATGAGAAGAACATGTAAGAAATCGCTGAATTGTAATTTTCGTCAGTCCACTTAATTATTTATGGGGAAGTATTTCACCATTGTTTGTCGTTTAGCTAGAAAAGTCCAAATGTAGAAGGCGATGACAACGACGACGGCAACGGCGACGGCGACGACCAAAACAACTGAACCATCGCTATACACACTGTCGCCTAATTCATTTTCGTTTCGAACTTCTTCTTCTTCTACTACTTCGGAAGTTGCAAGCTAAGAAAAACATTCAGTGGATCAATTAGAATGTGCAGTGTCTCGAAGATACGTCGCGCTGTTTTGAAGAACACAAACAAATCATTTTCCGTGTCATGGATGGCTCCCATCAACATCACCACACTCGAACATCTAATGCGATGATAGAATGGATGTCATGGACTTGTGTTTCTGTTCATTTTTTTTTTTCTTTTCTTACGCAAAATATCCGTTGAATGCCCGTGATTCAAAACCATCAAGTTCATTGAATGCATTACTGACAATTAGTTTTGTAATAAACAACACTAATAATTGCTTTATCGCTTTCATACGTTAGGCTAGGGAACAAAAAAAGACCACTATTGTTATAACGATGGCCCTATTCGCGGTCAATTTCTTCGTAATCAATGAGACTGCTGCTTTCCGTACCATTCAAACGCAATCAGAGATCTATGCGAATAAAACAACAACACATTTTCATCTCATGAATTTTCGCTTTGTATTGTGGCAATATTTAATTATTGAGAGATACTTCCTTTTGGAATCTGATATTGATGTATGTTTTTCTTCCAATCGACATTGACAATGACCAAAACGTACATTGAGATTTGTGTACGTGAATGGTATTTCATTTGTTACGATAAACAATGGCGATAGCCTTGTGTCAAATGAAGAAAATTCAAGTGTGTTGAACACATTTGTACGAGGAACACCTCTTTTTCCCTCAAAATGTGTTCACAAGTCTCAATGACTTCAAATAGTTAAAATCGCATCATTTCTTATCAATTTCTAACCAGAGACTGCATTTGAGTAGGAGTACACAGTAAATACCACCTCAATATAATTGATAAACAACGTGATTTCCAGCTATCCATTACAATTTTGCACCGTAAGTGCGTTAAAATACCGCTTCAGGCGCCTGAGTTAGCAAATTCAGCTCAGCTCAGGCCAGCTCAGCAGCAAATATGCAATCTCTGCTTCTAACTAAATTCATCCAATAAGTTTTAGAAGAAAAAGATGATGAAATTTTCCAATCCAAAAAATCGGTATTCGAAAATTTCAAAACACGGCGGAAAACAATTCAATTTCGAATTCGCCAATGTTCGAATGCTATATTCGGTGCATGTCAAAGTCAACTGTCGACTTTTAACTAACTTCATGTCAAAACGTCTAGCGCATTGAATACAAATACACGATCTGTTTGATTATCATTGGTATATACATAAAGAAACAAATAAAAAATTTGATACCGCTTCTATACCGAATATTTTCATAATTAGAAATAGCTATCTTAAACTGATTCGATTTAGGTGAGTCATAAATCCTTATTAATCTGGAATAAACTCGATCGATATCCACAAAAGAGAAATGTTAAAAATTTGGGTCTTTGTGTTCGATATTATTTTGGTGTTTGCATATAAAATCACGCACATTGCTAGCCCGCCAAACCGAATGGTATTTCAACATACCGTGTAACGGTGGTACTGTGTGGTCCAAAAAGAGACAGAATGTGCGAATGATGTTATGCAAATGATGTACAAAAGGGTCGTTTTCTACCTGCTTATCGAATGATCTCGAATTTATAACTATATTGTTGTTATGGATTTTGGTTAAAATCTATCATTGTATCAATTTATGGTTTATTCTTTAGTTTGTGTTCAGTGTGTGATGATTAGCAACAGCGACCATGTCGCATAAAGGAATTTTTGAGGATTCAGATAAATTTAGTGAAGAATCGGGTGAAGATTTTTCGGCCAGTGAAGAAGAATGGGCACCAGGAAAAGATGATAAGCCTTCGGATGATGATGATGATGACGATGACATTGATGTAGGTCAGGACTTCAGCGACGACGACGAAGTTGATGATGATGAGCCCAAAAGTAAAAAAGGCAAAAAATCGTGAGTAAAAACCACTTTTATTATGTTTCAAGTGTTTTTTTTTTTACTTTGGAAAGATGATAAAAATGTCCAACAAATTATTTTCCATGTACAGAAAAGCGACAAAAAAGATTACAAAGACGTCAAAATTGAACACATCGACGAATCGTCGTCAAACGGCATCGCTTCGATCGAAATTGTTCCGTCGATACAATCCACCACCAAAAACCGGTCCCAAATCACCCGTTCCAACGAAGGTGGCCGATATATTATCCGGTTCACAATATACGAAACGCAAGCAAATGCCGTCCGCATCAACATCGACATCGGGTTCGACACAAGCATCAGCCATGCAAAGTGATTCAGAGAGCAGCGAAGATGAGGGTTTGGTAAATCCAAACGAAATTGATTTCAACTCCGAATTTTTTGATGTAAAAACAAACAAAGCAGCAACTCAACAACAACAAGATGTTGCGCCCACATTTGATTGCAACGCTGGAATGCATTTGTCCGATTCGTCCGATGAAGATGGCGAAGATTTTGCGGAAGTGGCACCCGACACGAATACGGATTCAGCCAAAAAACCATCGATTGTTGATCAGATTAACAAGAAATCATCGAGCGAAATGCATGACTTCAGTAGTTTGCAAACGTTTGCCAAGAATCTGGAATCGGCCAAAGCCCAATTGGCAAAGTTGAAAGACAAGGAAGCAAGGACATCCAAGAACAGCACAGACGAATCTGATATCACAAAGTTGTTGTCACTTGGCGAAGGAGGTGCAAAGGTGTCCACACCATCCAGTCGAAAGCGTAAAAACAAAGATGACCGACAACATTCGGATGACTCGGATTGGGAAAATGTTTCAGGTAAAAAGCAAAAAGTCATAAATTAACACACACACACACTCATCACATTCAATGTAACTAATTCGGTTTGGTCGGTAAATGGGAAACTAGTTCAGTCATTTTATATACATATTATCATTGTTAATTATTTCATTTAGTTCATTCATTTCATTTATGAAAATAAATCGTGTATTGATACTACCACTAAGTGCTTGATTCGAAATGTCAACGACAAAAACACCAGCTGACATTTGTTTACAATTCTTCTCTCTTTTGTTTAAAATTTAAAATTGCTAACACCATTAGATGATGATGGCCGCCATGCGCGTGAAATAAAAGACATACAAATCACGGTGGGCAATGAAGTGGCTCGTGGTATGACGCGTGATCAAAAGAGAGCCATCGATTTGGAGGCATGCCTGAAGCGTCGCTTGAATCGTGACATTAAAGAAAAGCAAGTATTTTTACATAAATCCAGCGTTCTGTGTTGGATTGCACACGGCAGCTACATCAATCGTGTGTTGAACAACATGAAATTGATGGAAATGTGCCTGAAGCGATTGCCATCGAAAAATGCATATCCAAAAGGTGACACCGATATCAAGTATTTTCACATGGTCACGGAATGGTTTAGCACCACCTTCGATTTGAAATCCACAAAGCAATTTTGCGATCTGAAGCGTCTTCCGCCCAAAACATTTTCACTCGCGCTGCAAATCCAATCGAAAAAAGTCATCAGCAAATGTGACTATGTACTACTATTTGTCACAATGCTACGGTCACTTGGTTTGCAGTGCCGGTTGGTTATCAATTTCGCGGTGCCACCACTGCGACCGCCACAAAAGGATCTGTTTGTCGTTTCATCAAAACCCAAAGACACTGCCGATGCCAAATCAAATGAGACCAGCAAAGGTGAATCAAAAACCAAATCTAGTGAATCAAAAAGTTTGGCCAAAAAGATTAAGGTACTGTTTTACAAAACGACATCATCATATTTCCTTTAATGATAAAAAATGAAGCATTTTTATGTTGAAAAATATTTCTGTATTCCTTAGGTGTCAACCGAAAAGATGAAAAGTTCATTCAAAGAAGAGAAAAAACCCAGCAAAAGCAAAAAGCTCGAAAAAGTGATTGAAACCAAACCGAGCAAATCGTCAAAATCCAGAAGTAATGCAGCCGCCAAAACCGATCATCCATATGCCGATGTTCCACCGATTAAGAAAGTCAAAGTAGGTTCAATGACAATTTTTTTATTGAACTCGTATTTAGATGAAGAATCATTGTAAATTGAAAATATGATTTCATTCTCATTCAATAGGTAAATATGTCACAAATGTCTGAGTCGTTCATTGAAAAAAATACTACAGTACCGACATCACAAAGTGGTCATAAAAAATCATCAACCATCACGAAGGATTCACCGCATTCATCGCCCAGCAAATCAAAGAAAACGGAAAGTAGCGATACAAGCAAAAAATCCAATAAAATTGTTGCAGTGAGTCCAAAAATCAATGGCAAAGTGACAAAATCCAATGAAAACGGTAATGCAGCGCCATCACCAGGTGGCTCAAACAAACACAGTCAATCTATCAAACCGAGCCAAGTATTAATCGGAACGCCAACCAAACATAAGCTGCTCGCACGAACAAATAGTACAGATGTGTCATCTAATACATTTGCGGTGTTGAAGGATAAACCGACTAAAAAGATTATCGCTGTCACAACGACCACATATTCGCCGCGAAAAACGCGTTCGAAAACGGTGCGAAATGTTGATGTCACGGAGGCGTCCAGAGCAAGAACCAAACTAAAACTGCCACAGTTGGATGGTGCCGATGATATTCCACAGAAGAAAAAAGCCAAAGCCAAAGCCAAACCTCGGCCCAAACACAATGATTGTTCGAACAGCGACAGTGACTTTGCACCGTCACCACCGAAACGGGTACGCGCCAAAATTACGCCACAAAAACCAGTAAATAAAATTCTGACTAAAGCCAAACAAATCGATCGCCGTGTATTTTCCACCGATGAAGAAATCGAAGATGATTCCACTGCAAATCGCATGAACTTTTGGGTCGAAGCCTATGCCGAAAAGGAGAAGAAATGGGTAGTCATTGATCCCGTCAAAAAGAAGGTCGATTGTGTGGATTATGTTCGTGTAAGTGGAATGAAATTTCGCTCATTTTATTCGAAAAAAAAAAATTTATATCCATTCAGCATATGCTATAGATTTATTGAAGATAAATGATCTAGATCGTTAATTATTTGATTTTCTCCAGAAAAATGCATCGAAGCCAATAATCTATGTCCTTGCTTGGAACAATGACAATACGATTAGAGATGTTACACCACGTTATTGCTCCCAATTTCACACATCGACCCGAAAGCTGCGTGCCGAGCAATTATGGATTGATGAAGCATTGGATAAATTGCTTGAAAATCGAAATCCACGCACCATAATTGAAGATGTTGAATTCAGCAAAATGCACATGGACACACCAATGCCAAAATCGATCAATGAGTAAGTAGCTAGTTGAAACAAGGATTGCAAATTTGGATGCAATAATTGTTTGGTTTATTTCAGATTTAAGGATCATCCATTATACGCGCTCGAGCGTCACTTATTGAAATTTGAAGCAATCTATCCGTCAAATGCACTCACCTTGGGCTACATTCGGAATGAGCCAATCTTTGCCCGAGAATGTGTTCATACATTGCATTCGCGCGAACTATGGGTGAAACAGGCGCGAACAGTGAAAATTGGCGAAAAACCGTACAAAATTGTTAAGGCACGCCCGAAATGGAATCGTGTCTTGAATCAAATGGAAGAAGCCAAACCGTTGGAAATTTTTGGTTTTTGGCAAACCGAAGCGTACAAACCGCCGGTAGCGGAAAATGGTATGGTGCCCCGGAATCCATATGGGAATGTTGAATTATTCAAGCCGGAAATGTTGCCGATCGGAACACGGCACATTCAATTGCCGAATTTGAATCGTGTTTGCAAGAAATTGGGCGTGGACTGTGCACAGGCGGTGATTGGATTTGATTTCCATGGCGGTAGTTCACATCCAACGTTTGATGGTTTTGTCGTTTGTGAAGAATTCGCTGATGATGTCATCAAACAATGGGAAATCGACCAAGAGGAACAGATTCGCAAGGAAACCGAGAAGCGTGAGGCACGCGTGTTTGGCAATTGGAAGAAGCTGATCAAGGGTTTGTTGATTCGGGAACGACTCAAGCGTAAATTCAACTTTGGCGCCGATGAAAATGCCGACAAGACGCATGGCAAGAAACGCAAGAAGGAATGAGCCACGTAAACCATTCATTCCCCACTCATAGCGCTCATCCAAAGCATGTCAGAAATCAAAATTAAATTTCGTTACACTCAGGAAGATTATAATTAAATATCCGCTAAGTATTTTTTTTCATAAATGAGATTCGTTGATTATTTTTCCGTATTTTTTTTTATAACTGTTGTTGAACATTGTGCATCTTGTTGTACCACAATTCATTCTAAATGTTTTTCGTTGCATTTTGTATAAATCGTTTTCTATCCCGTTTTTTTCTATGCATTTTTCTCACAAAATTATTAATTGCCGAAAATCAAAGAAAATAAAGCAACAGCAAACCGATACACATGCATTTTCAATTGTCTTTCTTTAAGAGGCCTGAGCAAAAAATTTACTCAAATTTCCCGCCACACACATTGCTTGAGATCATACATTTTCTACCATTTTTGTTGTTGCAATAAATAAAATTGAAAATTCCATCAACGGCAATTAATACAAGTGAAGCAATGGAAAATGTATGGAAGTTCACATTTTCAATAAAGTTCCAAACAAAGCGGTTGAAACTAGAAATGTTCTTATCTATTTCGCCGCTAAACAGATTGCGGCCAATTATGAGCGAATGGTTTGTGTCTGAATAATTTGATAGAGTGCGCCACATGTTGTGCCATATTTCAAATGACATTCCATTAGAATGGCCAAATAGTGAAAAGTTGTCAATAAACAAAATCAAAACAAAATCATGTATTACTACTAGCCAAATTCGGATTTAAAAGTCAACTTGGTTTTCTTTTTAGTGTCGAGTCATTTAGAATAAGTTCAAGGATTTGACTGTTGTTTTATTTTTATACATTGTTTTAAACAATATGGTGAGATTATATAAAGCAAATATTGGTTCTGATTGAATTGACCACACATTTAATGGGATGAATTTTTTTTTCGCTCTTTGAATGATTAGAGTGACAAAGATAAGCCATGGACTGCGGATGATATTCGAAGGAATGCGCCGAATTGGTCGTTACAATGTGATGGAAAACTGTTGGAATATATGAAAAATGTGTCAAAGGTAAACAGTAATTCACGTTGAAGTATGTGTGATTTTGTTTGATTAGATTTTGATCAGTAATTTGTGATGCAATGAAATGCCGATTTTAGACAATCGAAGAGCGGGGGAATCGTTCGACCCACAATATGCATAGCTCAATGTTGGAACTTGACCGTACCAAAATCGCCTTAGAAAATGCAACCAATCAGCTGATGGCATTGCAACACAAACAGTTTATCGAGAATCGAGTATACGACGACGATGAAACCCTAGCAAATGTCGACAGTGTTCCGACTACTAATCCAAATCAAATCGAACAGGTAGATTAGAGCTAACCGTGAAGCTTAGTGGAGATTAGATGTATATTATTGTTTGTATTGACATTTGGATTTATTTTGATGTGAATAGCCAAAGATGTCAGTGACCGAAGCACTCCAAAATGCCATCACCACTGGAATGGAAATGGTTGATCAGTACTTCGATAAAGTGACAATTGAGCTGAGCGACTCAGAAGATGAAGGCGAAGAAGTACAAAAGAGGTGATTTTTTACAATTTTTTGTTTTAAATTCATATAGAATGCAATCGTCCTTATTCCTTTCGATTTGGAAATAGCGTCATTTTCCGGCCAAAGAATCTATATGACCATCGTCCACTGCCTTATTTAATCGGATCTAAAGAGTGGCATGAGAAATGGCACATCGGGCTGATTGATGAAGACAGCGATGGTTCGGGCAATGAGAATGTCGACGATGAAGTCTCAATATCGCCATCATCGTCATCGTCACAAGGCGTATCGATATCGAGTAATGTTCCAGTGTCATTGTCAGAGTCAGAGAATCCAACAGGTGCCGCCTTGTTCAGAAAACCAGGTTTGTTTTCATTATACAATTACATTGTGCAATTTGCATGTCACTGAAGTCTAGAGACTATTTATGAATAAAACATGGTTAATTCACATTTTGAATTCATCCCACGAATTATTCAATAAATATAAAAAAAAACATACATCATTTCCATTCCACCAGAAACGCAAGATTTATTCCAAAGTTCATCGGAGGAGAACATATCAAAGTTGTCACATGAAGAGAATAATCCAACATTCCGTAAAAGAAGTGTCGATGTGTCGAAAACCGAACCAAATGTGAAACCAACCGATTCAAGGGAAGTGAATACGAGTAATTCAATATTTAGACAGCAAAAGGCACCGAATGTGTCGCACGTAATACCAACATTAATCGATTCCGATCCACCTGAACTTGATGACATACCAAGCACAAGAACGGTGCACAAGCCAGCGAATCTCTTTTTGGATGACGAAAATGATCCGGATGATTTTAATATTTTCGAAAACAAGACAACCAAAGCTGTGAAACAAGCGAGTGGCCAAAGTGAAAATATGCAAACGACTACGTCGACGGCCGACCAGATCAAGTCAATCAACTTATTTGCTGACGATGAAGATGATAATTTTGATAGTTTTTTGCCAGCTAAACCCAAGAGCACCGCTTCGGTCGATTCCGTCAAGTCACCGCAAAAAATCACAAACCTTTTCGATGATGATTTCGACGATGACCTATTTTTGCAACCATCGGAACCAGTGCCAAAGCCAGCGGCTCCTACAACAATTTTCTCGAACCCGGCTCCCAAAAAAGATGTATTCTTAAGTAATTTATTCAATGATGAACCGCCAGATGATGATTTTGACACAACAACACCAGAAAAAGTGGTAAAGCCGCAATCGACAAGTGCAAACGGCGCGAGTAAGAAGCCAGAAGTAGTTGCTAGTCCTGAAAAAGCGAAAGTAGCTGCAGCTACGGTCGAATCGAAAAAGCCGACCGAATTGTTCAGTAACAAGCTCGATTTGTTTGATGATGATGAAGACGATGATGCGTTTGAGAAACTCATTTCCTCCACTAAAAATAGGAATTCAATTGAAAAGAAAGAAGTCCTCTTTGAAGCCGCCAAACCAATCGATGGAAAAGAAGAAGAAAAAAAGGTGCCTGCAGTGCAATCAAACAACAAATTGGGTTTTTTCAATCCAGGAAATTTGTTCTCGGATACACCACCGAGCGACGACGACGATGAACAACTATTCGCGAAAGTGTCGTCTCCAAAACATGATGTCAAAAAAAAGCCCACGGAGAGTTTGAAGCAAAAAACTGAATTTTACAATGATTTTTCGGACACGGTTACAGTACCAGAAGTATTCACTAACGCAATGCAATCAAAAACTGAATCGCCATCGGATGAGAAGGCGGTTAGCAGTGCATCAGAGAAATCTGTAAGCCGTGAACCTGAGAAATGGTCAAGTGTTGAGTCGAAGACCACAGATAGCAGTAAAACTGATGGAAAACGGTCTGATTTCCTAAAAAAACTCGATGCATTTTCCAATCACAGCTCGAATGTTGATAAGACCGAAACGGCACCGAATCCAAAAACAATACAACCGAAAAAATTGAACATTGGAAATATCGATATAAATGTTGCCGCTTTATTACCAGGTGCCAAACTCGCGAAACCGACCGAACGAAGCGATAGTAAAGAGAGTACGGATGAGGTCAGCGATGATGTGCCAGCTAAAACAACTACAATAAGCAAAGTCCTGAGTGAGGATAATGTTGATGATTCGGGACGATTAACGAATTTGAATCGCAATCGTGTGAAGAACTTTTCGCGACGTCCATCGACTCGAGCCGGTCGACGGCAACAGTATCAAAAATCACTTCAGAGTGAAGAACACACCGACGAATTATCTGATCAACCGGCCGCTAGAAGCGTTGATACGATTTCAATAGCTCAAGATCCACAAATTTCAGAAACAGTTCCAGAAGGCAAAAATAAAGTCGATAAAATTCCACCAAATCCGTCTAAAATCGAACAGAAAGCACCAAAAACGGAGCAAAAATCCCCAAAAATTGAACCAAAACCGAAAATTGAGAAAAGCCTAGAGGAAATTGAGCAAAAATTACCTAAATTTGAACCAAAATCTCTTACGAAAGAAGTAATCTTTGACGATGAGTTATTTGAAACCGATTTGCCACCTGAAGATGTCGCGATAACACCAAAAAATACGGAAAATACTGAAAAATCCCAAATATCCATTGACCCACAGCCTTTGGAACCAACGAAAAGTCCGGAAATTGTAGAAACAACCGAACAATCAAATGTGAATGACAATAAAAAGAAAAATCTATTTTCGTTCCTCGATGATCAAGAAGATGAAGACGATGATTTCTTGGAGGTGCAGCCCAAAATACCAGTCCAACCCGAGCCAGTTGCTAAGAGTGAGGTGACGGTCAAAGCCACTCCAGCTTACATTGATGAATTGCCACCAGAACTCGATTTAGTCGATGAAAAAATCAAAACTGCGGGAACTTCAACTTTCTTATCGGAAAATGCACTCAGCTTGTTTGGTGAGGATGATGAAGACGATTTTGACAGTGGTGCAATATTCACTTCCGGAAAATCAACCAATCCACCAGGTAGTAGTACTACATACTATGTCTCTATCATATAAAGCTAATAAATTGCCATGTTTGTCGACTACAGCTCTTCCGAATGATATCACAGAAGTGGAAGATGATTGGTCTCCATATCCACCACTAAACTTAAATCCGTCAGCCACGTCACCGGGTTCAAGTGAGAAGAAGCCCTCATTCGGTAATGTTTCAAGCCTATTCGATGACAACTCCGATAATGATGCACTTTTCGGTGGTCCAACAACGCCAGTTTCATCAAAAGTTGAGCCAAAAGAACAAAAACCACAACCAAAAAGTACGCCATCTGCAAGTGCAGTCACTAAATCAAGTCTTTTTGGAGACGACGACGACGACGATGATCTATTTGGTGAGCCACCTCCATTACCGGAGCCGGTAAAACAAATGCAACCAAAGAAATTGGCCTCGAAAATATTCAGTTCAGACTCTTCGGATGATGAATTGTTTGGCGGCGGAAAATCAAGCAAGAAAAATCCACCAAAATTGAATTCAGGTACGACTGCGACGATTTCGAAGGTGGGCAAAGATAAAGCGAGTGAAAAATTGTTTAGCGATTCAGAAGATGATGATTTATTTGGCACGAAATCAAAGCCAAAAGGTAAATTTTCATCAATTTTTATTCATTGAATCGGAATTTCAAACAAGGTTCTTTTCGATATTGAAATATTAGCCAAATTTTAATTTTTTCATTCCAAAGATACTGCCAATAAAAAAGTGCTGGCCACTTCAACATCAAAGACAGTGACAGCCAAAGAGGATGCCCAAAAAACCGTTAAAACTTTATCGCCAAGCGCCGTTGACAATGACCCTTTGGCCGATTTGTTGAAGTAGATGCAGCAGTGTGAGTGTCACCACACTCATAAAGTGTCGTTGTATCTTGACTATATTATGTGCCTTTCCCCCTCTTCCCTCAAGAAAAAAGACCTATAATTGAACAAAATTCTATGAAGAATCAAAAATAAAACATCCAATTGTTAAGTTTTCTACACAATGTTTCCTTCTTTTATTATTATTATTATTATTATTGCGAATATACAAAAAAAGTATTGTTATCAATAAACAAAAAAAAAACGAGGAAAAAGAATAGATTGGATTTTTTGGTCTGTTTGTTTACATATATTAGCGCTGTTAATTTGATGGGGCATTGGATTCTCCATTATTGGACTTATTTGAAGGAAAAAATTACACAAAATACAACAGTGGACGTGTGTCAATAACAATGGAAACATTCTATAAATATTGTATAACATTCCAAAATGGAGGTAATTCCAATCGGATATGTTTAAAAAAAATTATTACTTCAATCATTTGAAAAGTGTAATATAACAAAAGTATTGCATAAACGACGCTGACCGTGGGAAGAGACTAGTATATTTTTTTTAAATTTCTCTCACTGAAAAAAAGTTTCATTTTTGCATGTGAACTCATGTCGTTGTCGATTTTCGAATTAAAATCTAATAATATTTCATTTTACTTTATTACTCCGACTCACATCTATATCTAGGTTTTTTGGTAAAGAAATCTTTCTGCAATTTTACTTTGTGAAATATTTCTTTCTCTTTTTTTTTTTTACTAATTATCAACTCGGTTGAAAGGTACAAAACATTTGGAATGGTTTTTTAGTATCATCATTACATTATCATATGATTGACGGCGATTAAATAACGAATATTTATTATAAATAAATACTAGATGCTTATCGATCGAACGACGAATTTTCAGTTGAAAGCAAAATCTCTTAGTAAAACAAAAAGTATACAAAAAAATGTCGTATGTTAAGTTGAAGCTGTATAATAATCAAGGGGGGAAGCAAGGGAGTACGTTTTGGAAATCAGTGGTGATTGGACCACGCGGAAAATCACAGAGCCACATCACGATACTTGCGATAATCGTCTGAATCGTTGCCAATTGATTGTCGACTGTTTGTGTTGCTTAGATTTGAGTATGGATTTGGATTTGCGTAGCCACCGTAGTTGGTGAAGGGCATTCGATAGTTTTGATGGAAATATGCTTGCGGCGGTGGAGGTGGTGGTGCCATCATATGCGGTGGTGGTTGCATCGGAAATGGCGGTCCAAACATGTAATGTGCCGCTGCTGGATGATGTGGTTTCGGATTGAAATAGTGCGGAACATTGTAGCCGGTTGGTGTTGGCGGAAATGCGGGCAATACGTAGTACGGTGACGATGGCTGTCCGTGATTTTGTAGCAAATTATTTCCATATGAATTCAAATCATTTTTTATGGTCAATGTGCGCAAATTTTCCAATGATATACAATTGCGACCCAATTTGGCTCCCTTTTCCGATGATATCGTTTGATAAATCGGATCACCGGCTATCGAATGCTTCTCTTCTTCGTTGTGACTGTTGAAATTCTTATTTTGCACCGTTGGTATCGATGTCTTGCGATTACTTTCGCGCACATTATTTGGATTACTAGGGTGATTGTGAGGGATATTGTTGTTCAAATTTTGCTGGTTTTCTACCGTATTCGAAATGCCATCGGGTGCATCCAGATCCGTTACTGGGGTCTTTGATCGTGATGACGACATTACTATTTGTGATGGCAAAATGTGTCGGAAATCCAGCAGCGATTGCGTTCGTTTTGCGGCTGTTTGATGAAATGAAGGTGGAAATGTCGTAGTTAATTAAATTAATGATTAAATCGACATTATTTATGACACATAGGTTGGTAAAAATGGAACTAGATCTCGTTCATATCATCATATGATAAAACAAAATAAGAAACATGTCCAGAATATCTTTGTTTTTTTTCTTCAAATTTTCGAAATAAAATCGTTAAAAGTTGCGATAAAATTTACCTTGCATCGTTGGCATTGGTCCGATTATTTGCGATGGATCGAGCCCGAAGATGCTTGCATTGAATTCATTCTGTGACGGGTACATACCGTACATGTATGGGAATATTGGCAATGTGATTTGTGGTTGATGATGTTTCGAATCGTTGGCTGATTGCTGAATAATTGGTATAAATCCATGGTTATCATATCCAGACTGTGACAATCGGCGTTTTCTAGCCGACGACCGTCGTTGCATTGAGTCATTGATGCGTGTTAACGCAGCTGATGCGGCAGCCGGCGATAATGCACCTGGAATATCGGGTGATGTCATATGCAGTCGCGTTGCTAGATTTTCTAATTGGCTCATTATTTGCCTCTCCCTTCGCCATCGCAACGCCGTTGGAATAACGCAGAGCAATGCCATGCTATTTATAACCAGCCGAATTAAATAAGTTATAATCTCAGTCATACCATGAATCGATTGTAGTCCCTGTTGAAATTTTACAATTTACATTGCGATCAATGTGATGAAACGAAATTTTCGATTTTGATGAAGGAAAAGTTTAGCAATTGATTGATTTTTACCCAAAACTGTGTCGTCATAATCATAACGAATATTAATTCTGGTATCGATAAAACACCTACAACGATGGACCAACTAAATAGGCCCCATGATAAGCCCTTTTGAGCATGAAAATGTATAATAATTAAAAATACAAAGAAAAAAATAGAATAAAAAACAAGTTTTAAAAAAAATAAAAACACAAGAGTAAATGCACCGTTTCAATTGTCTTACCGTTGCCAGGCCATGTATCAAAATAGTCGATGCAACGAACATGATGAAGTAGCCGGAACATAATAAATAAGCGTAGATCGGCAGATCACCGTGAGCTTCCAATATCCATGACACCTCGCACGAGAATGCACCTAAATATGTAACCTGTACGCCGAAAAAACGATACAAAATCACCAATTATTGTGTATCGGTTTCTTTCTTTATTGATCCGCTCTTTTTCATAAATCATACCATGGAACATGAGAAATAATTGAGCAATATTGAAGCTGTCTCTAAATTTTAACGATCATATGGTTGCTCAAGCCAAATATATTTTCCAGTTATATGATTATATTATACCGCTGTATCCCATAAATACTTCTTTTATTAGTTAATTTTTTCCCTCGTCTTTATTTCATTTCCATTCTCATTTCGAGAGAGAAAATAAAAACGTTGGTAGTTGTTTAATACCCTCGACAACACAATGATCATCATGTGGCGTAATATGTCGGTATCTATTTCATATCGCTCACAGTCAGTGTTGTGCGCGTGCGCGCATAAAATGGGCTACGTTTTTTTATCTTTCATATTTTTTTTACAGTCATTACTCAGGAACTAATCACATCGACTTTTGCCTTTTTTTACCGTCGTTGTTGACATTATTAGATCGTTATTGTATACTTTCGCTAATTTCCTTTCAACAGATTGAGAGAAATATCGTGCACACTTCTTCCGTTTGAAGCTTAACCAATTTTTTTTTCTGTCTTCTGTTTCCATGATTGTTATTGTTTCAATGAGATAGAAACCACATTGAACGTAATTTGGAATTCCACAGCTAACAATTTCGATTCAACACTTTCTCTGCAAATCAATTCCGCGTCGGATTCTGATTGTTAATTCTGGGTGTCTGGTGAGAATGAATCAGGCCACTTCACAAAATGAATGAAATGAAGGGAAAAAGTAACCAATTTTCGGTTTCGCTCATCTTCTTCGCCCAGTAAAATAAATCATAACAAATTCAAAATTGATTCGGGTGAACGAAATTACTATTGAGAGAGAATGAGAATGAGAATGAGAGAGAGAGAGAGAGAGAGAGAGAAAAAAAAAATAAAAGCCAAAGACGAAAGATAAAGAGAACACAGAATGAAATACAATTGAAAGAGCAACAAGTGAAAATGCAGTGATTCTTTTATGCCGTGTTAATTCAATCCAACCCTTTGATTAAGTGCAATGATCATTAAGCGGATGATGCACCGCGATCCATGTGCGTGCCTGAAGTATCTGAAGTTCTCACCCAGTTGTTACACACACACACACATACATATCAGATTGCTCTTTAAATTTAAGTTGAACAAATCGAATCGAGTAATTGTCTCTCATATTATCTACTTCGATTCACAGCCAAATAACTTTTCATTAATGATTAGAAAATAATAAGAAGGTGAGGAAAAATCAAACGACAATTAAAAATGAAAGTGCATCTTATCCGAAAAAAGGCTGTCATATCGCTCTCATTTTCACTTTTCATATGCATCGAAAATTTACGTTTGATTTCAAAAGAGAAAGTAATACTGTTTAGATGCTAATGCGTGCAGTGTTGTTGTTTTAAGCGCGTGCGCGTGGCGGCAGCAATGAATTAATCTGCATAAAACTCGTTACGTTTTAATTTTGTTTTTCATTTTCTTCTAATAAGAAAGTTGCAACACAATCGAACGTTTTTACTTGCTGCACATTTATTAGATATGTTCGCTGAAATGCGAAAATTTCAAATTGAAAATTAAAATTGAGAGAGAAGAAAATAAAACCAACAACGAAGAAAAATGATAATTTCTCCATAATAAAGAGAAATTGTTCTCGAAACACGCACCAAATCTCACCCATACGTTTGCCAGCCTGCCGTTTAACGGGCTTTACGCGATTTATATGGATCGTGTTGGTTTACGTATACACGCATATGAAATCAATATACACATAAATACTTGGAAAAAGTGAGGTTAGGTATACCATCGAATGCTCAAAGTGTCAGTGCTTATGTTCAGCGCAAGCGAAAAAAATTACATAATGAAAGTTATTGGATCGCATTTTTTCATCATCACTAAAAAATATCCCATTCATTCATAATTCTCGTTGTTTTTCGATGAAAACAATTGGTAAATTCGCGGAAATATTATCATGTGTTTTTTTTTTGTCTTGAGAATTTGGAGCCAGGTGTTTTCTTCTGTTTTGCTGTTGGAATCAATGAACTCACAAAATGAAATGCATTTGGACGTCATTTGTATAAACTAAATAAAATCGAATTTATTTCACTATCGATTACAGCACGAGAATAAATTGTTTTTCTTTTTGTGTGGCTGTTGTTTGCACAATATGATTAGAATTCCTCTCGTTTATTGGTAGCGTTGATTGTGGTTGATTTTTGTTGTTGTTGTTGTTTATTTTTGTGATCTATTCCTCATCATCTGGTGGTATTCCTAATTCTTCATCTGTCCACGCTGATGTGTCTGGGTATGGGAATTCACCGACAATATGACCGAAATCCCAGTATAAATGCCAGATAATCCACCACCACATAACTACAATTGAATGAAATTTGCGCGTTTAATTTCCTCCGAGGAGAAGACACACAGAAGAAAAATATGTCAACAGCGATTTGACTTACATCCTCCAGCCATTTGAACGACGGCTCGTTTATAAAGTGGGTTACTTGTTATACCAGTACGATAGGTCCAATGGCCACTGTACCGAACGGGCATCGATTGCAATTGCTTCGTATTTCTAGCAACACCTAATAATTTGCCATTGCGAGCAAATTGTGCCATCGCTCGCGAAAACAACGGTCCCCGTGCTGCGAACATTTCTCAATCACTTTTCGGGTTGTTCCGTAAAAAACTTGATGTCTCTCCGTACAGTCTATATTATTGCATAAACAAATAATATGAACACACAAAACAAAGGCGTTTTTTAGTGGAGAACCACCGTCAAGATGGAATTGCGCGATTAGTTGTGTGAAAATATACTTCACAAGTGAAAAAAAAAATGCAAAGAATAATATTTTTATTCCTCTATGACTGACACGAATGACAGCACATAGTACACTGAGCCACAATTTTTTTTGACATTTCTCTCTCTCTCTCTCGTACAACTACGAAATGGAAATGTCAAATACGAATAAGTGTGTGTGAGCGTGTGTGTGTATACACCTTATGTCTTGAGCAACTACGTGAACAGAATAAAAGCGTTCGCTGCAAACCGTTACGATACTAAATATTTTTTTCACGTCGAATTAATCATTTTTCGGCGAATTCTTTTTTTTACCCATTTTTTCTTACACGAATGTGCTTTTTTGGGCATCTACCAAAGCAAATTTCGTATTTAGAATCACGGGTTTAGATATGATTACGATTTTTCGTCATTATTTAATTTTTTGTTAATACCTTTTTATCGCAGGCATATGATCGTTATTTCTAGAGAGCAATTTTTATTCATTATGACTTTCAAGGGAAGTTTTTTTTTTGTAAAAACTTAAATTTTAACGAAATTTAAATGAAAAAAGCAAATTCTTACCAGTGATAAAAAGGCTCCAACACAACATAGTGCAAATAGATTGGTTTTGGCGAATAGATTCCACACATGTGTGCTCATCTGATTGATGGATGATTTTTTTTTTGTCTGCGTCGAGTCCATGGTTTCAGCTTTTATGTGATCCATAATGGTATTTCTTGTGTTTGTGCTGTGTTTCAGGTACAGTGATTGACGAAATAATAGAGGAAAAAAGAACAACAAATAAACAATTGCAAGCTCACTATCAAAACTGTGGCTCTGTATTTGGTATCTAAGGTTTAATATTGTCTTCGGAATTGTACACAATTCTTCACATTGGTCACACGTTCCACCACTGATACTATATTCTGCATAATTTTGCGATTACCGATGACTCACTTTATCCTCTTCTCATTCACGCTCACACTCTCTCTCTATCGCGTTATTGATGTGATGACGGGATAAATGTGTTACTTGCACATATTTAAACAATTACATAACTTTAACTATTCAATGAAGTGTGTTTTTTTGTTCGGGTGCGATGTTTTGGTTAGTCTATTACATGAAATACCAAATCAAATTACTTTTTTTTCTGATTGCAATGATTTTTGTTGTTCGCGTAGATTCTATTCGGTCTCTATATCTCACCGTATATCAATAGAATATTTCATTTGCATTTTTGTTGTTGTTTGTTTTTTGTTTTAATGCAACACATATAGTTTTATTGTCTCACATTCCCATACATATCCGCGAAATATGTTGTATCGCATTGCGCGTCTTTCAACGAAAAAATCGAACACCCACTGTGTGCAATGCTACTACTGCTGCTGTTACACAGCACTTTGCCACTTTATTAAATAGTCGGTGATTTAACTAGAGTATGAGAATGTTGATGATGATGATTTCATTTGGTTTCGTCTCCTTTGTTTGTGAATATGTGCAGCAGCACCAGCTTATGCAAAACAACAATAAAACCGAAAGAAGCGCAGACACCTGCAATAAAATACTAATTATAATACAACACGTTCAAGAAGTGAACCTTATCTCTATTGAAAAGGCTTGAAACCTAGAAAATTCAAACCACCAGTCAGCAGGCTTTGTATATATTTTTTTCATTATTTAATCAAAAACTTTCGCAAAAAAATTTGAATCGTGCGAAAAACGGTGTGTATGGCAAACGGTTTTCACAATCGATAATAAATTTTTTTTTATATTGAAATTGTGTGTGTGTTTTTGTGTGATTTTCAAAAGCGCGATCAAATCCGCAATAAAGACGCGAGAGAGCAGCGCTGCAGTCAGGCTAAGACTTCACTGTCCACTGACGACGGCAATGACGTACTTTCTCTGCACTTCGCACCATTCATCGAAACAGTTCCTCTTGTGGTTTTTTTTTTATTTCTTCGTCAGTTTTTTTTTTTTCGCTCATTAGTTTTGCATCACCAAGCGGCGGATAGTGCACACACTTGAACCAATCAAGAATTGGATTTTTTAAACGGCGAATACAACAATCACATCGAATCATGAATTTTCTATTCACTGGTTTATTGTCCACACACTACGCGATAATACCGGATAAACCGTTTTTCATTCTCTCTCTCTCTCTCTCTCTCTCTCTCTCTCTCTCTCTCTCTCTCT